GTTAACAGTCTCCTCAACACCCTCTCACATTGTGGGAAAACTGCATGGACCACCTCTGCCTGACTCATGATGAGGCCGGGCACCTGGCACAGTGGCAGATGGTGGGCACTGATTAAATATTTGTGGCATGTATGAGCAAGTCCTGTAGGGGGAACTGGAACTGTATGTCTGCAAGAAGTGGGTGCAGTTTTCCATCTTCCAGATACAGAGCTGCTTCTAAACAATACTTGGGTGTCTTCATAGAGGATTTCTGGAGACACTGTTCCTGTCACCCCCTGGCATGCCAGCCCACTTTGCATCTAATCCGATAATGGGAGCCAGGCGCTGTTGGAGGGGAAAATGGATCCTCCCAGGGGCCCTATCAATATTCGCCATCCAGTGGGCCCTTCCTGTCCAGCCCTTTCTCTAGCTAGATTGTCAAAAGCTGAGACCGTCTCCACTGGGCTAGGCCACTGGGCCATTTGGCTGGTTGCTGGGCCATGCTCTAAGACATTTTGAAGGGTGAAGTCTCAGATACCAAGGCCTTAAGCTTCCAGCTGGCATAAAGGCTCAGGAATCCCTCCACAACTCCTTTGCCACTCATTTTCTTTCTGCAGAGTGAAAGCACAGTCATACTTAGTTTCCTCTGGCTATGCCTAAAGAGGAAGTTACAGCAGGTGGTTAACTCCTGACTGGGAGGAGAGACATTTCCTCTAGTGGAGGCTGGGCAGAGAGAAGAAGGTTAGGGCCTTGTTTAAATGAAGAACTTTTCTGTTATGAAAGACGGATTACAGACAAGAAGTGAGTCTATGAAGGAATTCTCCTTCGCAGGCTCTTGCAGGAAGGTAGGAATCAAGTTGAATTTTAGGAATGGAGAAGCATTAGATGTACAAACTCACTCATTAACCCCGGGGGATCCGACACTTATTCTGTGCCCGAGCCGGCACACGTGCAACTTTAGTGGTTAACACTGAGGACAGGGGGGCACTGCTTGAGTTCAAATCAGCCACTCTCCAGCTGAGTGGCCTTCGGTAAGTTCCTGAACATTTCAGTCTCGGTTGTTACATTTGTAAAATAAGGACCAGAAGAGTATTGCATAGGGTTGTTGAGTGGATTACATAAGATATGTATGTGAGGAGTTTATCACCATGCCTGACACAAAGTAAAGCCTCCCAAAATGTTAGCTATTAAATTACTAAGTATTTAGGTAAAAACTGGAGCATCTTCTTATTGCACTGTTGGTAGAAAAATTCATTCTTCCATAACTACTAAATTTTGCCTATATTCCACAATATGCTATGATGATATTTTCAGAACCCCCAAACTATGTGATATGACAAAGATTTTTTTCATATTTGTGAATTTTATTTTGTAAAGTATAAAAGTCGGGCTGGGTGCGGTGGCTCACACCTGTAATTCCAGCACTTTGGGAGGCCGAGGTGGGCTGATCATCTGAGGTCAGGAGTTCAGGACTAGCCTGGCCAACATGGCGAAACCCTATCTCTAGTAAAAATACAAAAATTAGCCAGTTGTGGTGGTGGGTGCCTGTAATCCCAGCTATTAGGGAGGCTGAGGCAGGAGAATCGTTTGAACCTGGGAGGCAGAGGTTGCAGTGAGCTGATACTGCGCATTGCACTGTAGCCTGGGTGATAGAGCTAGACACTGTCTTAAAAAAAAAAAAAAAAAGTTTAAAAGTTAAGTAGTTAATGTACAAATTAGTCAACTTAACTGGGATAGGTAAAATAAGACCTGAATGAATGGAGAGCCATGAATCTTAAAGACAATCAGGTTTTTAAAATATTGACAAGAAATTCTAAAGTTCATTTTGTTACAAAACTGAACTGAGGTCTACTTGCCCGGTGCATTAAGAGGAAACACCAACACTGAGGTTTTGCATCCGGAGAAAAGAGCACATTTATCCGCAGGGCACCAAGTGAGGAGAAGCGGGTCATACTTAAGATCCGATCTCTTCAATGACTTAAAAGCAAGGTGTTTTTTTTTCCCCAGAGTCTAGCTCTGCTGCCCAGACTTGAGTGCAGTGGCACTATCTTGGCTCACTGCAACCTCCGCCTCTTGGGTTCAAGTGATTCTCCTGCCTCAGCCTCCCGAGTAGCTGGGATCACAGGTTCCTGCCACCATGTCCAGCTAATTTTTGTATTTTTAGTAGAGGCGGGGTTTCAATGTGTTGGCCAGGCTGGTCTCAAACTCCTGACCTTGTGATCTGCCCACTTCGGCCTCCCAAAGTGCTGTGATTACAAGCATGAGCCACTGGGCACGGCCACAAGCAAGGGTTTTTTAAAGCAGGGGTAAATTTCAGGAAAGGAGAAGTTATGGGCAAAATTGTGGATCGATACATGGAGGTTATGCACTGGTTTGGCCTCAAAGGGCAAGATATCTTGAAGGAGGAGCCTTAAAGGTCATATGTGAATTCAAAGACTCTGATTTGTGATAAGTTAACGAAGCCAAGCTTTGTCTAAAACCTTGGGGTCAGCAGAAAGGAATGTTTAGGTTTGGCCCAACTTCCATTAGGATCCTCAGGAAGAAATTTAGAACAAAGAACAGCAGAGTTCAGTCCTCAGCTCCTTCTTCTCTGAGGTCTACAGGCCAGAGCATCCATTTGGGAGAGGGGTCCAGGTTTCTGAAGAGCAACTCATGGACATATATTACGATGTTTAGTTTCTATAGGGAATCAAGTATTTTGTGACTCTAACTTCCTTGTTTTAAGCTACAGTTACCTTCTTGTTTACTAGGTTGCTAGCTGGGTGCCTGGAATTTCCCTTGAGAGAATTCAAGATTTGCCTTTATTCCCATGCTTGCCCCCTCCCCACTTCCTGCAGGCCTCTAAGAAGAGTGCAGGCTCCACCTCAGTTTGGAAGAATAAATGAAGTGATTCTAGCCAAGAAGGTATGAAGAATAAAAAAATCCAGAATCTGTGTGTAGGGGAAGTACTTAAACTACTAGCTACCAAAACTTATTTTCTGTGATAAAGCTACAAACATTAAATGTAGTTTTAGGTTGGGTGTAGCCTCTCTAAACACAACTCTAAGTTTTGGCACATTAAAACAAAACTTGCTCGCTGGGCACGGTGGCTCACGCCTGTAATCCCAGCACTTTGGGAGGCTGAGGCGGGCAGATCCCGAGGTCAAGAGATCGAGATCATCCTGGCTAACACGGTGAAACCCCGTCTCTACTAAAAATAGAAAAAACTATCGGGGTATGGTGGCGTGTGCCTGTAGTCCCAGCTACTCAAGGGGCTGAGACAAGAGAAGGGTGTGAACCCAGGAGGTGGAGTTTGCAGTAAGCCGAGATCACGCCATTGAATTCCAGCCTGGGAGACAGAGCGAGACTCTGTCTCAAAAAATAAATAAATGAATAAATAAATAAAAATAAAATAAAAATAAAACAAAACTTTCTCATGCTTGCTTCGGCAGCACATAGACTAAAACAAAACTTTCTCACATCAACAACTGAAAAGGTAGGCCGGATGCAGTGGTTCACATCTGTAATCACAACACTTTGGGAGGCTGGGGCTGGAGGATCACTTGAGTCCAGGAGTTTGAGACCAGCCTGGGCAACACAGTGAGACCCCATCTCTACAAAAGAAAAAATTAAAATAAAATAATTAGCTGGATGTGGTGATGTGACCGTGTAGTGCCAGTTACTCAGAGGCTGAGGTGGGAGGATTGCTTGAGCTCAGGAAGTCCAGGCTTCAGTGAGCCATGATCGTGCTACTGCACTTCAGCTTGGGTGACAGAGTGAGACCCTGTCTCAAAAAAGAAAAAAAAGTTAACAAGTTAAAGTACAAATGGAGGAAATATGTCTGCAACAAACATGACAAGTCTTTAATATCTGTACTTTATGAGTGCCCCCCAAACAATAAACCAACTTCCCAACTTTTAAAATGGGCAAATAGAAAAGTGGGCAAATGGACATAAACAAATTCACAAAAAAGAAAATAAAACTGACAAAAAATAGCCATGTGAAAAAACAATCCAGCTAACTAGTACTCTAAGAAATGCAAGTACAAAAGATGAGAAATAACCATTTCAAACTAATTTTTTTAAAAAAGTCTGTGATGTCAGGTATATGGAAAATGGGCATTTCTCAGGGAAAACTAATAAGCTTTCCTGTAAGATAATTTAGAAAACATTTAAAAATATACTCCTTTTATAAAGCCATAATCATGTTTAAAAGAATAATAACATGGAAGAAAATTCACAAGATCGTGCTAAGTGAAGAAGGCAGAATACATCTTCGCAAGGCATTATCCCAATTATGCCAGACATGCCATGGATATACATAGAGAAAACACCGGAGACAACATACCAAAATATTAAATATACTTGACTCTAGGAGGTAAAACTGAGTGTTTTATGTTCCCCTATTTCCTATTTATGCAATAGATTTAAAAAGTGTTTTTACGACTAATTATACAATTCAAAAATTGCCTGTGTTGGAAAGCATGAAAGTACATGAAATTGTACTACCCTGGAAACCCCAGGAAGTGTTTAGTTTGGAAAGCCAGGGCCACCTGCTAGTGGGTGAGTCATGGGCACAGGCTCGCACCTGCCACCGCAGACGCCACACAGGCTGCTGCGCCTCTCCAAGCGAAATGCCCCACGTGTGCCAACGGCCACCTCGGCCGTCGCCCTGCGCCTGGCCCGCAGCCAGAGGAAGCCCAGCAACTTCTGCTCTTTCTTAATTTCTGGAAAACAGGGAAGAGAGGCCTTTTCAAAGTTCGCAGGATCGGGCCATTTTGTGCTCCACTTTGGAACAAATCGGAAGCCAGGGACTTCCAGATGCGCCACCGCCGTCCCGGGACCGCCGCTCCCGCAAGCGTCCGCACTGCGGCCGGGGCGCGCAGCCTGAGAAAGGCCCGGGGCACGACGCTCCGGGGGCGGCCAGAGCCCTCTTTGAAGTCTGCCGACGGGTTCCGAGCCTCTCATAAGCCAGCCAAGACCGACCAGCCCCGGTGACCACAGGCCAGCCACGCGGTCGCCCGGGGACGCGCGTGCTCCGCAGGGACAAAGGGTCGGGAAACTTGAACTCCGGCCAGTCCCGGAGAGACCCGGGCTGGTGGTCGCCATGGCAACGGAATCGGGCCCTCCGAGATCCGCCGCCCTGGTGCAGCAGCGGCGGGGGTGACCCGGCCCGCTCTAGGTGGGTGCCCGCGCCCGGGCCCCGGCCGTCCCTCCCCGCCCCCAGGCCGCGGCCGCGGGAGCCGGCGACTGACCCTCGGCAGCTCCTGTAGTCACGTGGCGCTGGGAACCCGGCGGGGGGAGGTTGGGGACGGGCCTGGCAGTTGTGAACTCGAACCTGCCGCTGTCGCCGCGGCGGGGCGGGGAGCAGGAGTGGGCCGCGGAGGCCGGCCTTCGGGCTCCATGGACGGGCGCCGCGCCCCTGCACAGCCCGCCGCAGAGGTACGGCCCCGGCAGGGGCGCGGGGGGCACCGCGGGCCCGCGGGGGGCCGCTCCACCTGCGGGGCGCGTGACCGTGAGTGTGCGCGACCGTGTGTGAGTGCGCGGGGGGGACGCTGCTGGATCTGCGGGGGTGGGGGAGCGCACCTGCGCACAGGCTCCGCGAGCTGCGCCGTGCGTGGGACCCGAAATGGCTCACTCGCAAGAACGGGACCTGTGTGCCCGGGAGCGTGGACGGAGGACACGCATCAGTACAAAAGGGCGGTGTGGGAGTTCTGCCACCCGCGGGCATCTACGATGCGGAAGGGGATTCTGACTGAGTCCTGGTCACAGCAGCTGGCCCTGCGCAGCCCCATGGGAAATAGGCCTGGAATTCCTGTCGGGAGGAGGTTGAGGGAAGGGGAGCCAGCAGGGATTCCAGAGTTCCTGCCGTAGGCCGGCCTTTGGCCATCAGGGAAAGCCCAGTCTCTGGCCACAGAATGGAGAATTCGTTCTGTGACCTTAGCAGGGAAGGAAGTGATCCCCAAAGACAGCAGTGTGCTTCCTTGTTGAAGGGGCACATTCATTTATTAATCCAATGTCCATTAAGGTCACTCTGCCAGGCAGGGTGTGAGGCTTATGGCTGGTGCTTGTGGCTCTGTGGGGGAGGGGTTGTGGCTGGTGAGGACACAAAGCTGACTGCCCTAGAGGAGCTCAGAGCCTCACTCCTGTTTTCTCTCCCCTCCCCACAGGTAAGGCTGGCCTCTCCGCAGTCAGAGGTCTGAGCTCTGCCATGGGGGTAGGGGTGTCTTTATTGCTGCAGTTTTCTCTGACACCTGGGGGCTACCGGAGTGTGGGCCGAAGCAGGCGCTGCAGCCGCGGAAGTATTCCCAGGAACATCCCCAAGAGGAGCTGGAAAAAGCCTCATCCCCAGCTCTGCAGTCTCCAGGGTAGAGTCTGTCCTTTGCTGTGCTCCCAAACCACTCCACAACTGGGGTGCACAGGCGTCCCCATCCCGGCGGAAGGAAATGGCCCTTTCTCATATCCTGGGGTCTTCGCTGTGCACAGTCTGACACTGGGAATGAGTGACCTTTGTGTTCCCTGAGAAGAGAGTGGCCTCTAGGGAATTTAGAAGGATGTGTCTGGAGCTTGTGAGCAGGCACAGAAGGGCCCTTAGGAACCTAACTGCTTCCTTCCTCCTTCCGCGGAGGAGGCTCCTGTGCAGGAGTCTGGGCTCCCCTGAGCTGTGGAAGAGCTGAACACGGGGCAGCCCCTGGCGAGGCTGGGGCAGGACCGGGCAGGGGACCGAGATTGCAATCTCATCTTCCCTCCCCTTCTCTTGCCCCAGTAATCTCCAGCACCCCGAGGGAGGCAGAGCCAGTGATCAGACCCTGAAGGCAGCAGGCTGTGGGTGTTCCTTGGATTCAGGGAGAGCATTCCTTCCTGCAATGTCCTAATTTGTGTGGGTGGAAGAGGGCAGGCGGGCAGAATGTGGGCACAGTCTGGGCAGGCAGTGGTCTGGCGTTAGACTGGTGGGAGTAGCACCCAGGGCTCTGCTTCTGTTCCCGGAGAAGGGCTGTTCTCACTTGTCCTCCAGCCTCCTGCAGAGACTGCAGTTAGTAATGCTGAAAGTGCCTCCCCTGTGGGGCTAGGAATGAAAGGCTATAGAAACTTTTTTCTCTGAGATCTTTGCAAACCCAGGCATTTTAGAGGAAAGAGCACCTGCCTGGAAGTTTAAAGACCTGTTCCCTAGTCTTGGTTCTGCTGTTGGCTTACTGTGTCACCTTGGGCAGGTCTCCTCATCTTTGATGCCTCACAGTTGCTTCATCTGTCAAACAGGAAGCTCAGTGTCTGCTTGTCCAGCTTCACAGAGTTGCTGTGCAGCTCAGATGTGGCATAGAAAATAGCAGACACAGGGAGAGGGCAGCAGGAAAGCGCTTGGAAAAGCATAAGGCACTGTAGGGAGCAGTGGCCACGTTTTCTGGTGAGTCTTGTGGCAGGAATGTTTGTGCAATCAGCACTGGAGCATTTACTCCCTGTCTGACACTGGGGTAGCTGCCATGAGGGGGATTCTAGTATCAGAGTCCCTCCCTTCTGGAAGTTTCCAGGGCAATAAAGACATAAGACAAACATCCTTGAAATGTTATCTAAAAACCCAAGATTGAAATAATACCTATCACACAAGGAAACAGGAGAGTAGTCTAGCTCTGTGTCCAGGGCTCTAGGGGTTCACAGATGGCAGCTCCTGTCCGGGGCTGAGGTTGGGAGGGGAAAAACAGGGGCAGGGTAAGTTGGTCTCTGGAGTGACTGTGCTTTTCCACCCTCAGCAAAGGAAGAACCGATGCTGGAACGTCGTTGCAGGGGCCCCCTGGCCATGGGCCCGGCCCAGCCCCGACTCCTTTCTGGGCCCTCCCAGGAGTCACCCCAGACCCTGGAGAAGGAGCCCCACAGGCTGAGGCAACAAGGCACGTCAGTGGCCCAGTCCGGTGCCCAAGCCCCAGGCAGGGCCCATCGCTGTGCCCACTGTCGAAGGCACTTCTCTGGCTGGGTGGCTCTGTGGCTTCACGCCCGCCGCTGCCAGGACCGGCTGCCCTTGCCCTGCCCTGAGTGTGGCCATCGCTTTCGCCATGCCCCCTTCTTAGCACTGCACCGCCAGGTCCATGCTGCTGCCACCCCAGACCTGGGATTCGCCTGCCACCTCTGTGGGCAGAGCTTCCGAGGCTGGGTAGCCCTGGTTCTGCATCTGCGGGCCCATTCTGCTGCAAAGCGGCCCATCGCTTGTCCTAAATGCGAGAGACGCTTCTGGCGACGAAAGCAGCTTCGAGCTCATCTGCGGCGGTGCCACCCTCCCGCCCCGGAGGCCCGGCCCTTCATATGCGGCAACTGTGGCCGGAGCTTTGCCCAGTGGGACCAGCTAGTTGCCCACAAGCGGGTGCATGTAGCCGAGGCCCTGGAGGAGGCCGCAGCCAAGGCTCTGGGGCCCCGGCCCAGGGGCCGCCCGGCGGTGACGGCCCCCCGACCCGGTGGGGATGCCGTCGACCGGCCCTTCCAGTGTGCCTGCTGTGGCAAGCGCTTCCGGCACAAGCCCAACTTGATCGCCCACCGCCGCGTGCACACGGGCGAGCGACCTCACCAGTGCCCCGAGTGCGGGAAGCGCTTCACCAATAAGCCCTACCTGACTTCCCACCGGCGCATCCACACCGGCGAGAAGCCCTACCCGTGCAAAGAGTGCGGCCGCCGCTTCCGGCACAAACCCAACCTGCTGTCTCACAGCAAGATTCACAAGCGATCCGAGGGGTCGGCCCAAGCCACCCCAGGCCCGGGGAGCCCCCAGCTGTCAGCCGGCCCCCAGGAGTCCGCGGCCGAGCCCATCCCAGCTGCACCGCTGAAACCGGCCCAGGAGCCGCCGCCGGGGGCCCCGCCAGAGCCCCCGCAGGACCGGGCCGAGGCGCCCCCCTCCCTCTTCTGCTGCGACGACTGCGGCAGGAGCTTCCGGCTGGAGCGCTTCCTGCGGGCCCACCAGCGGCAGCACACCGGGGAGCGGCCCTTCACCTGCGCCGAGTGCGGGAAGAACTTCGGCAAGAAGACGCACCTGGTGGCGCACTCGCGCGTGCACTCCGGCGAGCGGCCCTTCGCCTGCGAGGAGTGCGGCCGCCGCTTCTCCCAGGGTAGCCATCTGGCTGCACACCGGCGCGACCACGCCCCCGACCGGCCCTTCGTATGTCCCGACTGCGGCAAGGCCTTCCGCCACAAGCCCTACCTGGCGGCGCACCGGCGCATCCACACCGGCGAGAAGCCCTATGTCTGCCCCGACTGCGGCAAAGCCTTCAGCCAGAAGTCCAACCTGGTGTCGCACCGGCGCATCCACACGGGCGAGCGGCCCTACGCCTGCCCCGACTGCGACCGCAGCTTCAGCCAGAAGTCCAACCTCATCACTCACCGCAAGAGCCACATCCGGGACGGCGCCTTCTGCTGTGCCATCTGTGGCCAGACCTTCGATGACGAGGAGAGACTCCTGGCCCACCAGAAGAAGCACGATGTCTGAGACGGTGGGCGGGGCGGTGTTGGCTGAGAGAGGGCTGGGGTCCTTCGTGGTGGGAGTCGCAGTGGCCTGGGGGTGCCTGTCTGGTGCTGGAGTAGGGGACAATGGGAATCCCAGAGGGGACAGAAGACGCGGGGAGTGATCTGGGTGGGCCCTGTTAGCGAGAGAGGTCAACCCCGGTGGCTAGGGAACCCACTTCTAAGTGCAGGGACACCGGCCTCCAGCTGGTGTGTGCTGAGGTTCCAAGCTGACTGCCCTGTGCCCTGGAAAAGTAGCAATAGCATCTGCCCCTTAGAGCCCTCTGGCTAGAGGAGCCACCAGTGGAAAGGAAAACCTTCCATCCTCTGGTGTTAACGCCTTAATGTCCCTGTCTTTTACTGTAAGTTACTTCAGATCATTTTTGGAAATAGGCGAGGTACAGTCCTGTAAATGAATGCTCTGGGCTAGATACAGCTTGGAGAACCTGCTGGCCTTGTTAGACAGCACTTGGGCCTTTGCCAGCAGCAAGAGGTGAAGCCGAGCCATTCTAACCTCTCCTTTCCCCTCCCACCTGCCCCCTGCATAGGCTCCCAGACTTGGAGAGACCCATCTGCTATTAGCACTTCCATCCTCTTCCTTCCCAAAGAGCAGACCCCCAGGGCGTTTACTCCTTGGTCTGTCTCGCTTTATCTGTCGCCCCTCCCAGCACTGAGAGCCTCCCCTGGCTGTCAGCAGCACTGTGTCCAGGCTCTTGTCTGAACACTGCAGCCCCTCCTTTGCTCCTTCCAGAGCTCAGCATGTCATGGCAAGGACTGCCCCATTGGTGATGGAGGGCCAGCTGAGGGGAAGTTACCGGTGAGTTTCCTTTTCACCATTTCTAGCATATGGACACCTGGCCTCTGCTTGAGCACTTAGGTGACAGGAACTTCCCCACCTCCTGAGGCCCTGGATGATTCTAATTGTTAGAAATCCTTCCTTATAATGAATGAATTCTGCTTTCCTATAATTTCTACCTATCGGGCCTTGTTCTGTTCTCTGGAACTAAACAGAACAACCATTTATCCCCCCTTTTCAAACTAGAGAATAAAGATTTGGTTTTAGAACTAGTGTCTGGGGAGTATTCCTTTTTCCTGGGGAGCTGCGACATGTCAGGAGGAGCAGCATGCTCTCCTCCCTAGAAGGCCAGGGTGGGTGGAGGAGTACTGTGGTGGGGCTCTGGCCACAGGCCACATGCCCAGCTTGTTGAGCTCTGGCACCCGGCCTCAGTGCTTCCCTGAGCATACCCAGGCAGTTGGGCTAATTCTCTGGGTGGTGGGCCGAGGCTCCGGAGAACTGTGGTGCGTGGAATGCTCTCAGCTTGGTCCCAAGGTTTATGTTCTTGGTCACTTGCCCTCCTAGGTGGGCCCAGTGACGCCGAATCTTTCTCACCACCTGGGCCTTTATGAAACTCCAGCGAGCGCTCTGAGCTCTTTTGAGGGGTGCTGGGTGTTAACAGACTTTGGTTATACCTGGACTCTGCCTCCAGTAGCCCTTCAGAGGCTGGACAGAAGAAGGAGCCTCTGGGAGGGGAGGCGGTTCCCAGCAGCTAATACAGCACTCGGCTTCCACACTCCACACACCTGGGGTTCAGCCTTCTTTGAGGTTGTTGTCAAACCCAACCTGGGTCTACTTGCCCAGTGTTTGCAAAGCCTAACACCGACAGTGAGATTTGCAGCCAGAGAAAGTAAGGCGTTTATTGTAGAGCACCAGGCGGGGAGAATGGACAGCTAAGGCTCAAACCCCTGATGACTTATAAGCAAGGGTTTTTAAAGGCAGGAGTGGGGAGGTTTCAAAGTGAGTTAGAGGCTGAGGAATTTCTGGAACTTCCTTATCCATTTTCTGGTTCCAGTCTGTCTGAAGTCTACGTGCTGGGATTGTCACGTGGTGACATTGGTGGGGGTCCTGGCTCCTGAAAAACAACTCAAGGATATATGTCAAGATATCTTTAGGCTGGGCATGGTGGCTCATGCCTGTAATCCCAGCACTTTGGGAGGCTGAGGCGGGTGGATCACCTGAGGTCAGGAGTTCAAGACCAGCCTGGCCAACACGGTGAAACCCCGTCTCTACTAAAAGTACAAAATTAGCCGGGTGTGGTGATGGGCCCCTGTAGTCCCAGCTACTAGGGAGGCTGAGGCAGGAGAATTGCTTGAACCCGGGAGGCAGAGGTTGCCATGAGCCGAGATGGTGCCACTGCACTCCAGGCTGGGCAAGAGAGTAAGACCTTGTCTCAAAAAAAAAAAACAAAACAAAAACCAAAAAACAAAAAACAAAAAACAAAACAAAAAGGTGTTATCTTTAGTTTCTTTGAGGAAGCTCACATTCTGTGACTATTACTTGAATGATGATTGTTTAAGCTATTATTACTTTCTTGCTTAGCGGGTTATTTATTTACTTCCCCAATTCCTGGCTGCAGGGCTAGCTAGGTGCCTGGAATTTCCCTCGAATGGACTCACATTTTTCTTTATTCTCATGCTTTTCAAGTGATGGGCAGAGCCCAGCAGGCTCCTAGGAGGGGTCTCTGAGGCTGGGCACGGTGGCTCACGCCTGTAATCCCAGCACTTTGGGAGGCCGAGGCAAGTGGATCACCTGAGGTCAGGAGTTTGAGACCAGCCTGACCAACATGGAGAAACCCTGTCTCTACTAAAAATACAAAATTAGCAGGGCGCGGTGGTGCATGCCTGTAGTCCCAGCTACTCGGGAGACTGAGGCAAGAGAATCACTTGAACCCCAGAGGCAGAGTTGCAGTGAGCTGAGATTGCGCCATCGCACTCCAGCCTGGGCAATAACTCTGCCTCAAAAAAAAAAAAAAAAAAAAAAGAAAGAAAAAAAGAGGGTCTCTATCATCTCAAGGTCAGTTCAGACAGGTCAGTTCAGACTTTTCAGGTGTCAGTTCTGAAAAGTTCTGTCCTACAGTGCCTCCCTGGCCCGGTTTCTGTGAGCAGTCACCCTGTATGCATCCCTGAATTGGTGGTTTCATACAAATTTGAGTACCTGTTTTTACCAGGCATTAATAGGTTCTTTTCTTGCCTGTGTTAGTAATTTCTGCGTATATCTCCAGCATTTAGCACAGAGCACATAAGAATAACCACAGCTTGTTGACGTGAGTGGCACCTGGTGAAGTTTACCTAAATTATCTCATGAGTCCTTGTGTGGGAGGTAGTCTTCTTTTACATACGAAAACATTTGCCCACAGTCATATAACTGGTAATCACCAGAGGCAGATTCAAATTCAAGTCTGTCTGATTCCTGAAACCTGCACTCTTGACAACTGCTGTGTACTTAGTGGATGAATGCTGTGTGCTGCTGTTTTTGGTTAAGATAAGTATTAAATGCCGACTGTGTGGGTGGGGCTTAAAGTGTGTAGGATGGAAAGAACAGCTTCAAAGTTCCATATTGGTTTATGGGGTCACTTAAAAACCTGTGCAATTGATGGCAAATTATCTGTCAAAGCCTGGGAGCAGAGGGTGTGGTCTCAAGAAAGCCCCAGTGACATTTTTTCTCTTTGAGGGAACACAGGGTTTCCAGGGAAGGGGGGATGGCCAGGAAAGAGTAGGCCGATGTCTGGAAATGATGGGCAGGGAGCAGGGGCAGGTCCTTGGGTTGGCATCTAGGTTAGTCTTGGAGGCATTAGGGACAAGGATGAGGGTGAGAAGGGATCTAACCAGGGGTCCTAACCTTTTGAAAAATCCCGTTTAAAGGAAATAGTCTAGGATATGGGGAAAGTGGGGTGTGGGTGTCCTCAGTGCTTCGCTGCCCACTGCTTGTTGTGGGGTTGGGAAAGAGGTCCACAGGACAGAAAGGTCACACAAGTGGCCTTGAGGGGACTGGTAAAGCAGGAACAGAGTCAAATTGTGCATGGTTCCTTCCTGAGTTCCTTGATGGGTGGCCCAGTGGTTCCCAAGCCCTTGCTCTGCCTGGTTCATCACCATAGCAGTCACTGGGGAGGACTGCCTGGGTTGTAGGGGTCTGCTGGCAGGAGCTGCCCTCCTCTTCTGAAGAATCCACAGTTTTTCTTTGTTTTCTTCTACAATTACAAAAGCATTAAATTATCTTTAAAAATAAATAATTCAGATCTATTTAATGTGAATGCTCTCCTTCATTCCCCTATTCCACTCCCAAAATCCTTTTTGTTTACACTGTGAAAAGTTTGAGGAGTATTCTCCTAACATTTTTTCCGGTGTATTTGCAAACACACAAGCAGCCTCTCCCCCTCAGCTTTTTTTTTTTTCTTAATGGAAATAGGATCCCAGAGGTTCTCCATTCTTTCCACCTCTGAAATACCCTTGGTCATGGGATGCCAATCTGGAGGAAGTCTGCTCTGTAAGGAGGAAACAGGCCCAGGGGGTGGAAGTGACCCCCATCGGTGGGGGTCCTGATTTCTGAAAAACAACTCAAGGACATACGTCAAGATGTCACCTTCAGTTTCTATGAGGAAGCTAACATTTTGTGACTGTTATTTGGGTACTATTGTTTAAACTATTACTACTTTCTTGCTTAGCAGGTCATTCATTCACTTCCCTAACTGCTGATTGCAGGGCTAGCTAGGTGCCTGGAATCTCCCTTGAAGGGACTCAAATGTTTGTTTATTTTCGTGCATTGAATGGGGGGCTGGTGGCAGACCCCTAAGAGAGGTTCCTGCTCTGTCTCAACACTTGTAGCCAGTGGCAAATCTGGAACTAGAATACTGGTCTCAGAAATCAGGAATGTATTCCACAAGCCTTTGTAGAACCTCTTCTAGGTACTCTTCTAGAAAATAAGCTAGGTGTGGTGGTGCATGTCAGTAGTCTCAGGTATAGTCAAGATGGGAGGATCCCTTGAGGCCAGGAGTTTGAGGCTGAAGAGCATTATGATTGTGCCTGTGAATAGCCACTGTACTTTAGCCTGGGAAACATAGCAAGACCCCGTCTCTAAAAAAATAAACAGGAGAATGAGACTCTAAAGTGTTGATAGCTAGTGATGTGTGGCCTCTTTATAGGGTGTGTATGATTTTGTATTTTACAAATCCTTCTATAGATAATATAACCAAATTAACGGTAAAAACTCAGTAACGTGTGCAGGCAACTAGAAAATTATTAACCCTATTTTATAGATGAATAAGTCAAAGTCCAGAAACAGAAAAGTATCTTTTATAAAAAGTACACATGAAGTTAGTGACAAAATCGAATCTCAGTCCCCAGTTCCTGCTGTGCTACTGAGGCTAAACCGCAGCCGGGCCTGTGGCAAATGTTTAATCAGCTGTTGACTGAAGAAAATAAGGTCCGCCTGCCCAACAGCAACCGTTTGTAGAAAGTCTCAGAGGCCCAGATTCTGTCTGTATCTACCTCATGCCCCAGAGGCAGCTTCTAGCAGCTCCGGAGAGAATCCAGCCAGTAGGAGTTGATCCAGCTGCGCCCCCTTTGAGGGAGAAGTGTGAGGAATTTCCTTACAATGGGGTGGGGAGTTGAGAAGATACTCTTCGTTGAAGGTCTGGCAGTCTGGACCGGGTTGGCAGCTGGGCTGAAAGGATTCTGCTCATGGGAGCCCTACCTAGTAACCCGACCTAGTAACGTAACCTCAGAGCGGTTCCTCAGGTAGAAAACAAAGGGATTGGGCCGAGCGCGGGCCTGTAATCCCAGCACTTTGGGAGGCCGAGGCCGCAGGGTCACTTAAACCCAAGAGTTCGAGACCAGCCTGGGCAACATGGCGAGACCACCGTCTCTACAAAAAATTAAAAAAATTAGCAGGGCGGGAGGATCGGCTGAGCCACGGGTTCGAAGCTGCACTGAGCCATGATCGCGCCCCTGGGGACAGAGCGAGACCACGTTCCCAAAACAGAAAACGAAAATATCGAGTATAATGATTTCTAAGGTCCCTCGTAGTGAACCCTAAAAGTTATCACACCCTACGGTGGGGCTGTCGCGGTTTGAGGGCAGCCACAGCCTCAGCCGGGGTTTCTGTCCGGGTCCTGATGGGTCCCCAACAGGGAGAAACAGCGTCCGGTGCGCTGAGGCGCTCGGCGAACGTGCGCTGAGTTCAGGCGTTACAACGGGGTCGCAGTCTGAGTCCAGGCCTGGCAGGGGTGCCAGGACGCCGCCGGCCATCTGGAGCCCGACCTCCCGAGATCTCCTCCCCGGGGCCCAGCGGCCCCGCGGCCGGCTGCTAGCGCGTTCACGGCGCCCCGGCCTTGCGCACCCAGTGGGGGCGAGGTCAGCCCTCCCCCCTCGGTTATTGGCTCCAGAGAACAAAGGGGCCGCCCCGCGGGCTGCTCCGATAGGGCCTGCCGGGTCATCTGAGCGGCGCAGCCAATGGGGTGGCTGGGCGGCCCCGGGGATGGCCAGGCCCGCCAGCCAATCAGACACCCGTACCCGCCCCGCCTGCCCCGGGAATGGCCAGGGCCGGGAGCCCGGTGCCCAAGTCGCCCTCGGGGTGGCAGTTCCCGTTAACCTTAGCCACAAAGTCAAAGGTATTTATTTCCCCGTCGCCTCCCTCCGAGTCCCTCTGCATTTCGGGCGGGGAGGGGCGGTGCGAGGGATGGACCAGCGCTCGGCCCCGCTCCTCCTGTGCTGCCTCCGCCCGGCTCGGGCTGGGGCGGAGTGATGGGGCGGGGACCTGGGGTGCCCCGAGCCCCGCGCGTCCTCCGAGCCCGCGCGTCCCCCGAGCCCCGGGTCTCAAGCGTTTCCCCTGCCCCCACACAGCCGAGGGAAAAGGGGCGCGGCCGAGGGTGGGGAGGGCCCCAGGCCAGGGCAGCGAGGTCGGGAGGGAGGCTAGTGAGGACGGAGGGAGGACGCGGTGGCGAGTAGAGGGGTCGCCCGCGGGCGGCCCCTCCTGGGCTGTCCCGTTGTTCCGAGTTCCCGGTTCCTGTCCGTCTCCCTGATAGATCAGCTTCTGGGGGCGGGAACCCCAGTGCTCGCTGCAGAGTGACAGACACATAGTAGGTGCTCAATAAATGTGTGATTAAACGAGCGGGGATAAGGATTGGGGGTGGAGATAAGTGAGAGGGAAGCACCGCAGAAGTTGGAAGGGTGTGGTGTCGGGTGTGGCGGAGAACTCCTCTCCAGGAAGATGGGCACAGCAGCCGCGAATTCGATGGGGTGGGTGCGGGCATCCCCTCTGTGAAGAACGTTGAGGATATCTATCTACATGTGGAAAGTGTGGAGGTGGGGCCTCCTTCAGCCTTTTGAGCAAGATGATCTGAACTGGGGCTGGGTGTGGTCAGAGCCCCAGGGGCTGGAGGCGGACGACAGTCCAAGGCTTCACAGCCAACTGTTCCCATGTTCATCTGTAAAATGAAGAGATCAGATGGCAGTTGTCTCCTTTCAGGCTGAAGGTTTCATGCTTCCTTGCTTCAAATCTGTTTTGTACTGAAATTTCTTTAAGTGTTCCCTTGTGACAGTTTTTATTAATGGATCACTGTGTGTGGGGCCTGTACTGGGTGCAGGGGAGAGAGAAGGACCCTGTGTTAAGATGCATGTAGTCTTGTGCAGACTAACAAAATATTGATGATGATGATGATTTCATGTAGATGGTCCTGGGTGCACAGGTTACACAGAGAAGGGGCTCCTGGCTGAGCCTGGTGTGTCCAAAAAGGCTTCCTGGTCAAAGCGATCCCTAATCTGGACTGGGAAGGCGAAAATTGAGCAAGGGCCTTCCAACGTTAGTCACAGGGTGCGAGGACACGGTGAGTTCAAGAGCCACGAGCGGATGGGGCATGTCGGGGTGCAATGGGGAAAGATGCGCAGAGTTGAATTCTCAGTTCCCCCTTATCTGAGGTGTGCGTGCCAGCAAGTCCATTTGGTGGGGGTCTGGGTTTCTGAAAAACAACTCAAGGACATACGCTAGGATGTTACCTTTAGTTTGTATAGGCAACCACACGTCTCATGTGGTCGAACTTCCTTGCTGTTGTTTTAGATACGATTACCTTCTCATCAGGTTGCACATTTACTTCTCAGGACCAGCTAGGTGCTTGGAATTTCCCTGGAAAGAACTCAAGATTTTCCTTTATTTTCATGATTGGAGGGCGCAGCAGGTGCCTGAAGGGGTCCCTGCTCCATCTCACTTTCGTTTTCCAAGGTCCTTTGAATGCAGCAAGGGATGGAAATGTGTTTATTAATTAAAATGTGACACCTGTTCAGAGACTGTTAGCAGCTGGGTTTGTCCTCAACCTTCAGCTCAGATCCAGGCCCTGACAGGTTCCTGAGTATTAGACTTGGGGCGGAGGAATGTTAAGTGCAGCTCTCGCCTCTGAAGGGAGGTGGCTGAGGAGGAGGGGCAGGGGTGTGGGGCAGGGGAGGTGTGGGTGGGACAGTTCCAGCAAGGGTGTTTACCTCTGGCCGGTGAAGGAAGTCTTGGAAGGAGGTACCTCAGAATCATAGCTGGGGTCGAATTGGGGACCTCTGGGAGGTGGGCAGGCAGAGTGGATAAGGCAAGTGACCTGGCTGCATGCAGATCAGGTCTCCTGGGAATGTTGACGGTGGCAAACTAAAGCCATGAAACCTGGCTGGCTGTTCATACCCTGAGGTACAGTTCTTATAACCCTGAATGGGGAGCGGGTGATGGCAACAGCAGTGACCTAAATCGAATTTGTCTTGCACCTTGGGAATGTCTCTGAGAGTCCTCTCACACAGTTCACATCCCACCATCCCTCCCCCCTGTCCCCGCCCCGCTCGATATAACAATTCTATACCACGAGCAAGTGTTATTTCCATTTTTAGGTGGGGAAACTGAGGCCCAGAGAAGGAAAGTGGTTTGTCTGGGATCACATGGCTAACCAGAAGCAAACCCAATCTCAGTCCCTGTCTGGAGCTTTTCAACGGCCTTTTCCACTATGGCCTGCTCTTTGGATGGGACTGCGGCCTGCCCTTTCCCCTGGCTCCCCTCCTCTGTTCCCTCCCCAGACTGAGGACTGGGGTGTTTGAGAGACTGAGGTCTGAAGATGGTGGAGTAGAAAGAGGGGAAGGGTCAGGGGCTGGGAGAGTGGTCACAGTGGGGGTGGCCTTGTGCTGAGTGGGATCCGGGAAGTTGGACAGGAGCAGGGTGGGTCATGGGGGGTGGGACAGGGGAGTTGTAGTGGGAGGCTGATGCTGGATGTGGGGATGGAGGCCTCCAGGTGGGGGAGGGGATGCCCACCTGGTTTGGGCTGGGACCTCTGGGAGGGGCATGCAGAACTGCCCTGGTAAGTGGAGGGCTTTACAGACAGTGCCACAACCACAGCCGTGGCAAACCCTCTTCCTCCTGCGGGGTGGAGTGTGGAGGCTCCTGTGTGGCGCTGGGGGCCTCAGATTCCCAAGTGGCTGGAAGGAGTAATGGCTTAGGAAGAGTGAGCAGCAGTGGGGACACTGGCAGAGAGGCTTGTACAGACACTGCCCGGTGCCTCCAGCTCAGGCTTGCTGCCCTGTGGTGCTCCTCCCAAACTCAGAGAGCAGGTATGTCCATTCACCCGTGCCATCAGGAACCTGAGCTCAAAGCGCTACAATGACTGGCCGGGGACTAGCAGCGGCTCAGTGATGGGTGGGCTGGGACTTGGGACTCCTGACTAAGACATGGGGTTCTGAGGGGAGAAACCAGGAAGGGTGGCCTTGAGAAGGCCATCCCTGCCAGCCTCAGGCAGTGGGCTTCGAGGGGGAGACTAGGGCTGAGGAGCCAGCCAGGTGGCGGCTCAGGGTCACCCAAAGCTGACTGAAGGGGAGAGGACCCGTTGCATCCCCTTGGGCCAGAGCCCACAGGCCAGGCCCTGGAGGATCTCAGGCTGCACCAGGCTTGCTGGACACAGGCTCATTGTCTCTAGGGCTTTCTGTCTTGCTGTAACGCCTCTCCAGCCAGCTGCAGCTCCTGCTGACCTATCCCACCCGGCACAGGTCATCCAATGGGGACTCACGGCCCCAGCCTCCTGGCTCGATGAGGGTATGTTGCTTCTGTTTCTACCTCTCTGAGTTCTTTCCCTTGGAGCAAGTGGGCGTGATAGGATGGCCATGGGTGTACAAGGATACTTGTGTCGTGGGTGACTTTACATTTCTGTGTTTGTAGGTGTGCCGTGCAATGATTTGTGCTGACCTGGTTCACAGTGGCACATTTGTGTGTCTGTGGATCTGTAGGTGTCTCTGTGAGTTTAAAAAAATATCTCACATTCTCTATTTGCATAGACAGTTTTGCAGGTGTTCTCATGTAGTTTTGTGTCTTTGAACTTTTGTTTACTTAGCTGTATTTAGATATGATTGTATCTGGGTATGTTTGTGTGTGGTTTACATCAGTTTCTCATGTCCCTATGGTCATATATTTAAATTAAAACCATCTGCTATTAACTGAAATCAGGCAGAGAATACCATTGCCTGGTCCTGAGGGATTTCTTGATAGTGACAGAAGACTGGAGCCTGAGGAGCCATCTCTTGAGTCCTCCATTGTTTCATTCACTCATTCTTTCATTCACTGAATACACATTACACACTTTCTACATGTGAGGGATGTGCAGGCATGGGAGCAAGCCCCTGTTCCCTGGGGCTGACTTGAGTGAGGGGGTCTCACAGGGAGAGAGAACTAGGTGAGGACATAGCAGGAATGGGCTGGGGGAGAGGGCAGGGAGGCTCTGGGGACCAGGTGGAGTTGGGAAGGACGAGGCCATAGAAGGGGGCAGCATGGGCAGGGAGGCGTTGGCTGGGCATGGGCTGGGACTGGGGAGGCCAGTTTCTGTGGGGGTCTTCTACAGAAGACCAGCTGAGCAGTGCCCAGCAAGTGAGGACCTGCTGGGACCTCACGGCTGAGAAGGGCCTGATACTGGGCCTTTGGCTGGGGTTTGGGGAGCTGCCCCCACCCCGCAAAGCCTTAGCGCCTGGTGGTGGATGCTGCTCCCGCTCCACTGGCAGCAGATGGTACCTGCGGCACGGTCTGCTTCTGACTGCCCGACCTGGGGCGCTGAGGCTGTGAGAGCTGTGCTGGGCTGGTGGGAGGTTCCAGGGGCGGTGATGGGGACGACCTTGCCTCTTTCTGGCCTGTGGCCTTTCTCCTTCCCCAGCTGCTGTCTGGCCTCCCCGCCCCCAAGTCTCTGCCACAACCAAAGCTCCTTTGTTGCCTCCCCCTGCCCTGGGCCTCTCCACCTGCTGCTAGCTCAATCCCCTCTTTGTGTGGTTAGTCCTCAGTTGTCATGGCAGCTGGGCCCAGGCTGAGGCCTGCCTACTGTTGGGCTCTTACTGAACTGCAGCCTGACCTGGTGTGGGGAGGGCCGGGCCAGAGCCAGGTGTGGGAAGGGGGCCCCTGTGTGTCCTGCTCCCCTCAGAGCCCGAGGGGCAGCAGAAAGGAAAGGTGGTCCGGTAGGGGTCCAGGGGCCCTTGTGCGATAGACGAAGCGGCCTTCCAAGACTCGGTGTGGGCACTGGTGGCAGATGGCGTGTCTGGCCCTTGACGCCTGTCTTCCAGCCGGGGGGCTTTGCTGGGCAGCCTGCTCACCTGGCTCCTGGGTGTCTCCAGGTGGCCGAGGACGTGTCAGGATGGTGGGTTAGGAGGGGCCCGCCATGCGCAGAGCAGAGTGAAAGGCAGAATAGGAGAGAAGCTTAGGGTGGAGACATGTGGTGTCTGTGTCTGGCCAGCCTAGAATGTGTCACATGGAGGGCTTTCCTGGATTTTGTCTGTAGGACACCTGCTGTGCCGTTTCCCAGACATAGCCCACCTGAGCACACAGGTAGAGGTGGGTCCCCAAAGACTTGGCCGCCCCTCATTCCTGTCTTCTGTTTCCCCCTTGAATTTCTCACTTCTTCCTCTTGGGTCCTCTTCCTTCTGTCTCCACTTCTGTTCTTATGTAAGCCACAAGCTGCTTCCCCTCGAGCCCTGGTATGGCCCGAGGCAGAGGCACTGAGGCTTGAGGCAGGGGCTGCTCTGGGAGGTCCTGGACAGTGGAAGGCCTGCTACTACCCGGAGTGGCTGTTAGGTCCTAATACCTCTTGGGAGGCAGGGTGGGTGAAGTAGGACTCTCTTTGATTTGCCTTGGAGATCTCACTCTGTGTAGACCCAGGCCCATCCTTCTGTCCTCCTGAATTTCTGGCCTGGGCTCTGCCCTCCTCAGTCTGAGTTCCCCTTACCAACGTGGCTTCTCTGTCCACTAGCCCCTTTGCGCCTCTTTAGGTGGATGTTAAGTCCAGTTGGTGAGAGGTTTCCCAAGATGTGGCATGCAGAAGCTCACAGAGTGGCCCTGAGGGAGGAGGGTGGCATGGGAGGGAGGAGCCCCCAGCACCCATCAGAGCCCCACCAGGGGCCCCTAGCCCCCTTCCCCACTGCTCACCTTTTCCCTGCACCACAAGCAGGTTCGAGTGTCTGTAAGAAACCATAGTAGGCATGCTTACAGACCCCTGTAGGGGAAATAGAAGTGAAAACAAAATCTCTTGCAAACCCAGAAAAGCTCTTTGCAAAAGTAGAAGAGAAAAACAGTTTTTAAAAGATTGAATGTGCATGAAACCAGAATGTGGTGAGCACCACAGACAATCCCCTGAGTGACTGCAAAGACGGGAGCTCTCAGCCTGCATATAGCCAGCACGTGCAGCCCGTTACAGACATGTTCTCAGGGTAAACAGCCACCAACCCTCCAGCAAGAGGACTGGACATTACCATTTGTCACACGCAGGTCATCCTAAATTCACGTGGTAATTGGAGTGACCATCTGTGTTAGCTAATTGCCTTTACCCACAGCAAAAATAAAGTTCTCTTATTTTTATGACAGGAGATAGGTTTGTGATTTGGAGCCAGGCGCCTGCTGAAGTTAGGCTCCTACCCTCCCATGGAGACTGGGAGGCAGGGGTAGTGTCTTCCTTGATCTTTAAATTTCAAAGAAATGGCCCCCAGGACCTTGGGAAAGACAGTCCTGGGTTGTAATGTTGGCAGAAGGCTTATTTAGCTTTTTTTTTGAGACAGAGTCTCACTCTGTCACAATCTCGGCTCCCTGCAACCTCTGCCTCCTGAGTTCAAACAATTTTCCTGACTCAGCTTCCCGAGTAGCTGGGATTACAGGCATGTGCCACTACGCCCAGCTAAGTTTTATATTTTTAATAGAGACGGGGTTTCCCCACCTTGGCCAGGCTTGTCTCAAACTCCTGACCTCAGGTGATCTACCCACCTCAGCCTCCCAAAGTGCTGGGTTTACAGGCATGAACCACTGCGCCCAGCCTTATTTAACTTTTAAAAAGATTTATTTCTACTTGAGGAGCATTTTTAATTCACATACATCTCAAAAAGACAGAGATAGAGCTTATTAATTAGAAGTTTCTAAACTGCTCTTGAAAAAGGGGGTGTCTCTTCCTCTCTTTGCACGAGGGAAAATGACTTTCTGCATTTTCTAGATTCATATTCACCCCTCCCCCCATGTCTCTTGTCAGGGTCCAGATCCCCAGTCTGGGTGTGTGCCCCCAGTGTCTGGGCTCTGAAGGGGACCTGGGAGAGGTAGGCTGGGTCTCTGCGAGGCTCTTGGGGCCTGGGTGGGTGTTTCTGTGAGGGTGGCCGAACCAGAGTGCCTGGGAGGAAGGGCTGACTGAAATCTGGAAGAGCCCCTCCCTTGAGGCAGCAGGAAGGATGAGCTGCACATCTCCGTGGGGCAGCCACGTCTTTGCTCTGCTAGGGGGTACAGGCGCAGGGGACCACATCCCTGTCCTTAGGAGAGGTGCACCCCCAGCGAGGAGGAGATGAGTCTCCAGGCTGCACAGCTCCTGGCCAGGTGGAGCAGCCCATTCCTGCCACCTGCATTTGTTACAGGCCCTCTGTGTGCCCTCTGCTCTGGGCCCTGAGGATCTGCTGGCAAGCATGAAGAGCTCCTGGACTTGGTGTGGTGGGGAACAGAAAAGTTAAGATGACTTCAGGTGGCAAAAATGTTAGAGAGGAAATGGGAGGTGGAGTTAGGCTGGTGACTGTATATAGAAGCACCAGGGGCCAGCACGGTGGCTCACGCTTGTAATCCCAGCACTTTGGGAGGCCGAGGTGGGTGGATAACAAGGTCAGGAGTTCGAGACCAGCCTGGCCAATATGGTGAAATCCTGTCTCTACTAAAAATACAAAAATTAGCTGGGCGTGGTGGCGCACATCTATAATCCCAGTTACTTGGGAAGCTGAGGCAGGAGAATCACTTGAACCCAGGAAGTGGAGATTGTAGTGAGCTGAGATTGGGCTACTATACTCCAGCCTGGGCAACAGAGGGAGACTCCGTCTCAAAAAAAAAAAAAAAGCAAAAAACAAAAACGCAAGGGATGCCTGCTCTGAGAAGGGGACATTGAAGCTGGGAGCTGATAGAAGCGAGGGGGCCAGCCAGGTAGGGATCTAGGGTGAGGGGACAGCCAGGGCAAAGGCCTGGGGCATCCACACAGCAGTGTCATCTATCCTGTCATGTTCCAGGCACAGAGTGAGCCATTCAGGAAATGCTCAGAAGACTTGGGCATAAAAATAAAAAAAGAAGGCCAGGTGTGGTGGCTCATGCCTGTAATCCTAGCACTTTGGGAGGCCAAGGCGGGCAGATCACGAGGTCAGGAGATCGAGACCATCTTGGCTAACACGGTGAAACCCCATCTCTGCTAAAAATACAAAAAATTAGCTGGGCGTGGTGGCATGGTCCCAGCTACTCGGGAGGCTGAGGCAGGAGAATGGTGTGAACCTGGGAGGCGGAGCTTGCAGTGAGCCGAGATCTTGCCACTGCACTGCAGCCTGGGAGACACAGCAAGAATCCTTCTCAAAAAAAAAAGATGAATCCTGGATCAGTGAACTGGGCGTGGGCTCTGCAATGCCCAGTTGACCGTGTGTGTTCTTGTATGGAGACAGTTGGCCCTGAAGCTCCCCAGAGGGGTTTGTACTAGAACATGGATGGGGACTTTGAAAGAGGGGGCTGGTGACTGAGGAAACGTGTAGGTCCGTTCTGCCTTCCAGGTGTATTCCTTATGGTCAGTTGCAGACATATCTCTAACCTTACTCCAGGCTCCTGCTTCTCAGGTGTGGCGTCCATCACACGCTGCCCTGCGGATGTTGAGGGTGTGGGCTCTGGTGTGGGTGTTAGAAGACCTGGGATTTTGTCCAGCTCTGCTGTTCATCACCTTCATGACTCTGGGCACATCAGGGGTCCTTCATGGTCTCAGTTTCCTCTTTCGTAAAATGGGAATTTAGGCTCTTTTACTTTCTCAGCAGGTATGCGTACAGTGAAAGAGCCCCTGCCCACGTCGAATGTGGCTGTGGATAGAAAAGCTCTTTGGAAAAGAGAGTGCTTTATGGGATGGGAGGAGGGCTGGGGACCCTGAGTTCTGTCCTTGTCCCACAGGCCCATTCTCTTTCTTTTGCTTCTCTTTCTGACAGATGACAGGAAAGGGACACAGCCGGTGCTGATGCTGGGAGGCCTCCAGGGATGGAGGGTGGCCTGGCTGGTGACCGCACAGGTAAGAGAGAAGAGAGAGGAGGCAGAGGAGCCAGGGTCTCCTCCGCTGAGGTTGCATGCCCTTATCTTTTCTGAAGCCAGGCGCAAGCCAGTGCCCTCAGCCAGTAGCTAGTACATCCCATTGATGCAGAATTTCAGGTTGGGGACCAGGGCTTGGACAGCCATGTCAAAGAATGGAACAATGACAGAGGCGATGGGAGCTCAAAAAATGACAAAGCCTGGTCCATTAACTTGCCTGGCAAGGGGACACATGTGCACCCATGCCTTGTAGAAATTGAAGTGTTGTTTACGTGCTAGAACAGGGAGTTTGTGGGGTTATACTAATTAGGCATGGAAAGCTAGCACTCTAGGTAGGACAGTTGGAACAAAGCTGTGGCTTATCAGTCAGGACAGCGTCTTCAGTCCATTTATGCTTCCTGGAGGTCACTCAGAGTTCAGGGTCCTTATTGGCTAAGCCGCTTAGAGCTGGTTGTGATGAAATACATGCTGCCAGTGGAAAATTTTCCTGCACAGTCACGTGCTTTTGACTGGAGCCCCTGCCCAGCATCGCTGTGCCTGAGGTGGAGCAGCCCCTGGCGTCTGTGAGTAGCACTTGCAGCCCTTTCTGGCGTGCCCTGTCGCATGTGGTGTGTGGCCTGGCTGCAGTGGCGTGTGGCCCAGCTGCAGAAGGGCTCTAGGCCCCTGGGCAGGGTTGAGTCCAGAGCACACTGGACACCCTTGGGAGCCCTGCCCTTCGGCACAGTGTGACTCGGGTTTCTTTACCTCCCTCTCCACTCCCAGGTGAATTGCCCCATAGACCTCAGGGCCCCTGCCTCATTGCCCCTGTGGGAAGAACCGCCTCCCTCCCAGGAATATCATGTCAGGAGACCCAAGACTGGGACAAAAATCAGGCAGTGGGGTAAAAGAGAAACGTGGCCGCAAGTGCAAAGCGTGGCAGTGTGGCATGTGGACACAGACCCTCAGGGAGCCTAGCCATGCACCTGCGTGCCTGTCTGAGGAGCCAGGTGCATGACAGAAGCACCCTAGCTGCATGTGTGTTTTGGAAATTCCAGTGGAACTTAGAGCGCAGCGTGTTATAGAAGGCCCTTTCCCTAGATAGCCTCATACCTGGGATCCTGAGTCACTGTGAGGTTGCTCTGGTTGATGTGAGCTGTGGAGTCAGCTGGGGCCCTCTCTCCTCTCTATGGCAGCTTCTGGGGAACCTGTGGTTTTAGGGAAGAGTTTGGAAAACACTAGCCTAGACTCTTGGAGACATGGAGGCATGTGGGGACTGGCCTGTGGCCGGACTGAGGGAACCACTCATTTGGAGGACCCCGTTTTTCAGACAATTGACAGCTTACCCCTTTTAAGCAACCTTTAATTTTTATTTGTGTGCGTGTGTTTTATTGTGGCAAAATATGCACGACATTTACCATTGTAACCATTTTTAAGTGTACGGTTTAGTGGCATCAGTACATTCAGTGTTGTGTAGCCTTCACCGCCATCTATTTCGAGAACATTTTCATCACCTGGGAAACTGTACTCATTAAGCAATAATCCGTGCTTTGCACCTTTTAATTTTATCGGAACCATTAAAACCTAAAACATGATTCTTTTCATGATGACTGAGGAGCGGTGCCATTATTTCGGGACTCTCCATGGGCAGGCCAGTGGCCCCTGCTCTTCATATGGATACCTGAACCCTTGGGAGTGTGCCTGGGGCTGCTGGAGCCCCAGCACACTCCACCTCAGCTCCAGGGCCTCCAGGGATGCTGCTGGGCTTAGCACCTCACCCAACCCAGTCATTTACGTCTGCCAGGGGTCCTTTGGCAGGTGGATGTGACGGCACTGTCCTGGCATCCTGGGGCTTTCTGGCCCGCAGTCATCTTTCTGGCTGGAGAGGGCTGAGGGAGAACTGGCCATCAGCCACCTGATGGACGGACACAGCACAACCACCGGTCTCAGATTGGTGTAACTCATCCTGGATCATCCCTGTGTGCATTTGTAGAGATATATGGTCTAATTTTTTATGAATTCAGTCAGATGATTCATATGGTTTTTCAACTTGTTTTTTGCTTTCTCTTAAAATGTTTTGAGAATCTTTTCATATTGGCATACATAGTTCTTTTCCATTCTTTTTAGTTGATGCATAGTATTCCATATTATGAAGGGAACTATTTTTTAGGATAATTAAGTTATTTTTCATTGTTTGCTCATTACAAAGAACACTTCAGTGAATATTCCTGGACATTCCTCTTTACACTCGTATGTCAGTATTTCTTAAGTGAATACGCGGGATGGAATTGCTGGCTGGAAAGGGCCAGAAGGCTCTCCACACTTCTAATTTTAATAAACACTGTCAGATTGTCCTCCACAAATTCTGCCCCAGTTTATGCTCTCAGATTACCCATGTGTATACTAGTTCTTCTGTGTAGTGTCCACGCATATTGTAAAGTAGAGGTATTATTGATTTTTTAAATTTTTGTTGGTATGAGAGGTTGAAAGATGCTACACTTTTAGTTTGCGTTTTGTTGATGACTAGTGGGGTTGAACTTCTTTTTTTTTTCTTTTTTTTTTTTTTTTTTGAGACAGAGTCTCGCTCTGTCGCCCAGGCTGGATTGCAGTGGCCAGATCTCAGCTCACTGCAAGCTCTGCCTCCCCGGGTTCATGCCATTCTCCTGCCTCAGCCTCCTGAGTAGCTGGGACTATAGGTGCCCGCCACTTTGCCCGGCTAGTTTTTTTTGTATTTTTTTTAGTAGAGACGGGGTTTCACCGGGTTAGCCAGGATGGTCTTGATCTCCTGACCTCGTGATCCACCCGTCTCGGCCTCCCAAAGTGCTGGGATTACAGGCTTGAGCCACCGCGCCCGGCCCGGAACTTCTTTTTATCATGTATAGGAGTCTGTTTTATAGTCTGGATACTAAGCATTTGTTCTATATCTGCACATATTTTTTCCTGGACTTGCACTGTCCAGCACATGGCCTAGCCAGATAGAACTCTTCTAGTTTAAGTTTAGGTTTAAATCAACTTAAGTATGGCCAGGCGCGGTGGCTCACACCTGAAATCCCAGCACTTTGGGAGGCCGAGTTGGGTGGATCACCTGAGGTCAGGAGTTTGAGACCACCCTGGCCAACATGGTGAAACCCCATCTCTACTAAAAATACAAAAATTAGCTGGGCATGGTGGCGGGCGCATGTAATCCCAGCTACTTGGGAGGCTGAGGCAGGAGAATCACTTGAACCTCAGAAGTAGAGGCTGCAGTGAGCCAAGATTGCGCCATTGCGCTCTAGCCTGGGTGACTAAGGGAAACTCTGTCTCAAAAATAAATAAATAAATATTAATTAGTTAACTTAAATACAATTAAAAATGTCATTTCTTAATTGCACTAGTCACATTTCCAGTGCTCAGTAAACATATGTGGCTTAAGAGCTCAGATGTAAACTGTTTCCACTATTGCAGAAGGTTCTATGTGAAAATGCTGCTCTAAATTCCCATTTCTTTTTTCTTCTTCTTTTTTTTGAGATAGAGTTTTTGCTTTTGTTGCCCAGGCTGGAGTGCGGTGGTGCGATATCATCTCACTGCAACCTCTGCCTCCCTGGTTCAAGTGATTTTCCTGCCTAAGCCTCCTGAGTAGCTGGGATTGCAGGCATGCACCACCACACCCAGCTAATTTTTTTGGATTTTTAGTAGAGACGGGGTTTCACCATGTTGGCCAGGCTGGTCTTGAACTCCTGACCTCAGGTGATTCTCCCGCCTCAGCCTCCCAAATTGTTGGGATTAATGGCGTGAACCACTGCATCTGGCCAAAATTCCCATTTTTGTCGGACTTATGTTTATGGTATCTTTTGTCATACAGATGTTTTAAATTTAGTTTTTATCTTTTGTATCCTGTTTAAGAAGGCTTTTAATTATCTCTGGATTCTAAGCAAATTCTCCCAATTCTTCTAATACTTCCATTTTCTTTTTTAAGCTGGCACTTAAGTCCATCTGGAACTGATTTTTATAAACAATCTGCACTGCGAATCTAACTTAAATATTTTCCCCAAAGAGAGGGTTGGTTCTAAGTCAATGAATAGCCTTTTTCCATTGACTTGGAATGTCTCTTGTATCATGTATCAAATGGTTCTGTTCCATTGGCCTATTTATCTATGATGTGTACTGTACATTATTGTAATGATTGTATTTAGCATTTTTACTTCTATTTTTTGTGGATGAGAATCTGACTTGCAGCCTTAAGTCACCAAGCCCACCATGGAACAGCCATGCCAGTAACAATAACAACGGTGTCAGTCAAGAGTTGGGTTTTATTTTCTTTTTTTCCCAAATGGATCTCTCTCTCTCTCTCTCTCTCTCTGTCGCTCGCTCGCTTGCTCACTGTCTCTCTCTCGCAGTACAGTGGCACGATCAGGGCTCACTGCAGCCTCAGCCTCCTGGACTCAAGCAGTCCTCCCACCTCAGCCTCCAGAGTAGCTGGGACTACAGGTGTGCACCACCACACCCAGCTAATTTAATAAATTTTTTATACAGACAGGTGTTACTATGTTGCCTAGGCTGGTCTTCAACTCCTGCACTTAGGCAATCCTCTTGCCTTAGCCTCCCAAAGTGCTGGGGTTACAGGCAAGAGCCACTGTGTCTAACCTAGACTTTATATTTTAGAGCAGTTTTAGCTTTACAGAAAAATTGTGAAGAAAGTAGAGTTCTTCTATACCTTAGCTCCAGTTTCTCCTATTATTAACATTTTGCATTCGTGTGGTACATTTATTATAACTGATGAACCAATATAGATACATTTTTATTACCTGAAGTCTATAATTGACAGTAGGGTTCTCTCGATCTTGTACCTTACATGGGTTTTGACAAAGGCATAATGTCCTGTATCACTATTAGAGCATCATACAGAATATTTCACTGCCCCCCAAGTCCCCTGTGTTCCACCTGTTCATCTTTCCCTACCCTCCAACCCCGGGCTACCACTGGTTTTTCAGTTCTCTCTGTAGTTTTGCCCTTTCCAGAATGTCATATATTTGGAGTCATATAGTGTGTAGCCTTTTACGTTGGTGTCTTTCACCTAGAAGTTTGCATGTAGGGTACCTCCATGGCTTTTTTGACTTCATAGCTTATTTCTTTTTATTGTTGACTAATATTCCATCATGCAGAGTTATCCATTCACCCATTGAAGGACATGGTGGTTCCTGCCAAGTTCTGGCAGTTAGGAATAAAGCTATAAAAATCCATGTGTAGTTTTTTGTATGGACAGAGGTTTTCAGCTCTTTTGGGTAAATACCTAGGAAAGCGACTGCTGGATTGGATGGTAAGCCTGTATTTAGCTTTGTAAGAAACTGCTGAACTGCCTTCCAGAGTGGTGGCAGCACTTCGCATTTCCACCAGGAAGGAACGAGCCCCTGTTGCTGCTCAGCCTCACTGTATGCACATGCCAGTGATCTGGATTCTAGCCACTCTCATTTATTTTATTTGATTTTTATTTTTTTTGAGACAGAGTTTTGCTCTTGTTGCCCAGGCTATAGAGCAATGGTGTGATCTCATCTTGCTGCTGGGTTCAAGTGATTCTCCTGCCTCGGCCTTCTGAGTAGCTGGGATTACAGGTGCCTGCCACCACCCCTGGCTAATTTTTTGTATTTTTAGTAGAGATGGGGTTTCACCATGTTGGCCAGGCTGGTCTTGAATTCCTGACCTCAGGTGATCCACCCGCCTCAGCCTCCCAAAGTGCTGGGATTACACATGAGCCACCGTGCCCAGCCATTCATTCTATTCTATTCAATTCTAGCCATTCATACGTGTAGGGTGGTAGCATTTTTGCTTTTAATGTCATATAAGCCAAAGTCTTCTTTGTTCATTTTTAGGATTTTCTGGGCAATTTGTATAGATGATAAATGTTACAATTTACTTAAATAGGATTACACTGAATTTAAACATTATTTCAGAGTGAAGAACATCTTGGCTCCTCATCTAAGAATATGATATATTGCTCCTTTCATTTAGTTTTCTTTATCTCTTTAGTAAAGTTTAAAAGTTTTCTTTATATAAGTTTTGCATGTTTATTAGGTATATTCCTAGTTACTTGTGTTGCCATTTTTTAAAAAGTGATTTTTGTATGGTTTTGTACCAGGCAATCTTGCTAAACTCTTATTTCTATTTCTCAGTGGATTCCCTTGCACATTCCAGGTTGTTAATAATCATAAGCAAATGGCAGTTTCTCTCCTTTCCAATGTTGACGCATTTCTCTTTGTTTTCCCCTCTGCCTTGGCTAGTTCCTCAAGGACAGCCAACTGATTTCAGGGATGGTGAGCATTGCATTTTGTTGCTAACTGTAATGGGCTTCTAATCTTTTGCCTTTGGTTATAATGTTTGCTGTAATTTCTACAGTACATTCTTTGATTCTTTGTCAACTTAGTTTCCTCTATTCTTAGTTTGCTAGGAGCTTTCTTCTCTCTCTCTCTCTCTCTCTCTCTCTCTTTCTGTCTCTCTCTCCCTCCCTCTCTCTCCTCCCCTCCTCTCTCCCTCTCATCTTCCTCCTCCTCTACCTTCTCCCTCCTTCGAACCTTTCCTCTAGAAATAATGTTCAGTTTTATCGTATGACTTTTTCACATCTATTGGGAGTTTTTTCACTTTTAATAAGGTAACGTTATAAATTATATTGGGCCATGTTTGCTTTCCTGGGGAAAATCTCAGCAGGGTTAGGGTATGTTATTATTTTAATACCACTGAACTTGCTTTGCTAATGTTTGTGTCTGTGTTCAAAGAATGATAAACCTTTTGCCCACCTCCATTCTTGTCTTGGGTTGATACTGGAGTTATGCTAACCTTGTAGATTTCTCTTTCCCTTTGCTCCTATTCATTGTAGTAGTTTATATAAGGTGGACATGGTCCTTCCCTTGAGGCTTTAGCAGCACCTGTTTATACAGTTACAGAGCCTGTTATCCATTTTTGAGGTAGACTGAGATGTCTTCTTAGGCTCTTTTAGTCGTTTATGTCGTCAGATTTTCTACCTACTCTTGGGTCAGTTTTAATTTACGTTTTCTTGTAAAATCTTCTATTTTATATAGATTTTCAAATTTATTTATATAAAGTCCATATATAGTATTTGGGGATTTTCAGAATCCTTTTTGCAGCTACATGTCCCTTATCTATAATCTGTTTTTATCTTTATTAATGCTGTTCTTCTACCTCTTTTGGGGTTATTTTGTTGTCTTTGTAACACTGACATCTGTTTAAAGATTTTTCTCTTTGTTCACAAATGTTTTATTCCACCTACTTTTTATTACATGTAAACCTTTTTGGAAAGGTGCGTAGATCACAAGCTCTATAAATTCTTATACAGCACACATTGCCCTGTAACTAGCACCCATATCAATGGAGAACATTGCCAGAACCTCAGACCCATGCTGCCTTCCATCCACAGTGCCCTCTGTAATAGGGCATTATCCTGACTTCTAACTCTTGGTTTCATTTTGCCGGCTTCTCCTCTTCACATAAATGGAATCACACAGTATGCATTCTTTAGTGTCTGTGGCAAATGGTTTCCTTATGGCTTCTTATTCTGAGCTAGGAAAACAAACTGCCTCTGTAGACTTGTGTATGGCCCAAGATGTGGGCTGGGAGCAGTGGGTGTGGGACCCTCAAGAGCAAAGTGGATTAAGTTTAACACAAAGGCAAGGCGACACCTCTTTTGGATGCTGAGGTCTTTCTGGCCTGCTTTCTTGTTCTTGGTTTTGTTGAAGGAAGATGAATTGCCAGACAGCCAAGGTCCCAGCAGGTGAAGTGTTCCCCCACCATGGCTTCTGCCTTGGGGCAGGGGCCCCGCCAGTGTAGACGGTGATGCAGTGACCCAGGGTTTGGTCTCCCTGACCACTGAGGACTGGGCATGCCTTTGCTTAGAAAGCTTCCAGCACGTGGATCCTCTTAGAAAAAGAATGGTTATGTTTTGCAGCTTGGCTACTTTCTCCTTGCCCCTTGGGTCAGCAGATTTCACTGGATTGGTTTCTTTAACCTTCTCTGCATCTCCTGGGCCTCAGGGTGGAGAAGGTAGAGCAGCCGGCGTCTCAGGGATCCTGTGGCCTGGGCACCCGAGTGATTCATTTACGATTCCTTTCTTGTATTTTTCTCCTTCACTCCTTTCTATATCTTAACCTGCCCTTGTTGTCCTTTCTGCCTTCCTTACTCTTTTTTCTTCTCTTGCCCCTGTTTTCTTCTGTTCGTTTTAAAATCTTTCCCTTCTGCCTTTTCTCGTGCTCTCTTTTCAGCCCTTCTCTGCCTTCCCACACCCCTTCCCTCTCGCTCCTTCTCTCCATCCCACCTAGCGGAGCAGCAGTGACCTTTCTCCCTCCTCTCTCCTGCTTGCCTCTGGCAGGAGCTGGGCTGGTGATGAAGGTCAAGCAGGAGAAGCCGGAGCGGCTGCTGCAGACACTGGCACCGCAGGTCATGCTTGCGGAGAAGGACAAGGAGAACATCTTCCAGCAGCACCCGGGCCTCCCGCCACGCCAGACCATGGGGCGGCCTCGAGCCCTGGGGGGACAGGAGGAGTCTGGGAGTCCAAGGTGGGCCCCTCCCACTGAGCATGATGCGGGGCTGGCAGGCCGGGCTCCCGGGTCAGCCTCCGCTCCCCTGAGCCCCTCGCTTTCTGCCGGCGAGGGTCACTTTGTGTGCCTGGACTGCGGGAAGAGGTTCAGCTGGTGGTCGTCCCTGAAGATCCACCAGCGCACCCACACCGGGGAGAAGCCGTACCTCTGCGGCAAGTGCGGCAAGAGCTTCAGCCAGAAGCCGAACCTGGCGCGCCACCAGCGGCACCACACTGGCGAGCGACCCTTCTGCTGCCCCGAGTGCGCACGGCGCTTCAGCCAGAAGCAGCACCTGCTGAAGCACCAGAAGACCCACTCCCGGCCCGCCACCCACTCATGCCCCGAGTGCGAGCGTTGCTTCCGTCACCAGGTGGGCCTCCGCATCCACCAGCGCGCGCACGCCCGGGACCGCCAGGGCTCCCGCGCCGGCCTGCACGATTTGCTTCGGGACGCGGCGGCGCGCCGGGCCTCTCGCCTGCGGCCGGGGCCGCCGCGGGGGCGCCCCGAGTGGGCCTGGCTGGGGCTCTGCCAGGGCTGGTGGGGCCAGCCTGGGGCCCGGACCACGGTCTCCGGCCCCTCGGGGCCGGGCGAGCCGCGCCAGTTCATCTGCAACGAGTGTGGCAAGAGCTTCACCTGGTGGTCGTCGCTGAACATCCACCAGCGCATCCACACTGGCGAGCGGCCCTACGCGTGCCCCGAGTGCGGCCGCCGCTTCAGCCAGAAGCCCAACCTGACAAGGCACCTGCGCAACCACACGGGCGAGCGCCCGCACCCCTGCCCGCACTGCGGCCGCGGCTTCCGCCAGAAGCAGCACCTGCTCAAGCACCTGCGCACGCACCTGCCCGGAGCCCAGGCCGCGCCCTGCCCCAGCTGCGGTAAAAGCTGCCGCAGCCGCGCCGCACTGCGCGCCCACCAGCGCGCCCACGCTGCCGCTGAGCCCGCCATTCCGGCCGGGGAACCGGGCGACCAGCTGCAGGCCGAGGCCATCCCAGGCTTGGCCGCGCGGCCGCGGAGCTCCCAACGGTCCCCGGGGGCCCGGGACGCGCTGTGGGGCCGGGGACGCGCGGGCCTCACCGGGCCTGGCGAGCCGCGCCAGTTCATCTGCAACGAGTGCGGCAAGAGCTTCTCGTGGTGGTCGGCGCTCACCATCCACCAGCGCATCCACACTGGCGAGCGGCCCTACCCGTGTCCCGAGTGCGGCCGCCGCTTCAGCCAGAAGCCCAATCTGACGCGGCACCGGCGCAACCACACAGGCGAGCGGCCCTACCTGTGTCCCGCCTGCGGCCGCGGCTTCAGCCAGAAGCAGCACCTGCTCAAGCACCAGCGTGTACATCGCGCGGCCTCTGCGTGCAGCCCCAAGGAGGAGGCGCGCTAGTGGACGGGACCTCAGCGGACCCGTGGTGGTGCGGGGGATGTTTGCGGGGTATGTGTGGGGAGTGGGTGTGGCCAGGATTGCTGGCTCTTAGAACTCCCCACAGCGGGACCGGTAGATTCCTCAAGGCTCTGAAGGACTGAGAATAGTTCTAGAAGGGCCCAAGAGGGTGCTGGGAAAGGTCCCAGCGTGGGTTGAGGGAGGAGGAGGGAAGATCCGAGTTCCTCACTGCGGGCCCGGATGTGACCACCCTCTTCAGAGGTTGGACCCCAGGCTTCAAGCAGCGAGTGAGGGGCCTGTTTGGGACGCTGGGAAAGTCTCCTGGTGTGAAGTGGCTGAGGTCTGGACTAGTCAGCTGCAGCACCAGCCGGTCCTGCCCACGCTTCAGGATGGCCAGGGGCTGCCCCTGTAGGAGAGTTGCCAAGACTCGGTGATACCAAGGATGGAAGCCAGAGGCTGTGGCGAGGGAGAGCCAAGTATATTCCCAGCACTAGGGCCAGAGCTGGCACGTCGTAGGAATCCAATAAATATTTTTGGAAGGAGTGAGTGGTTTTATGTCCTTCTCCATCCCTGCCTGCCCCCTGCCCAAGGTGTGTGTGTGGTTGGGCCCGACTCTAGAACTGGTATGTGTGTGATGGTCAGGCAGGCATGAGCCGGGTGGGCTCCGCTGAGGCTTGGCTACCTGGGGAGGTAGCTGTGCAGGAGAGCGCCAGACACGCTGCTCCCACTCCTGTCTGGGGCATGTCTGAAGTGGGCTGGCTGACTTGACTGGCTTGGATCCTTATCAGTCTGGTGTTGCAGAAGAGAAAATGGATGGAATACTCCACATGGTCTCACTTGCCTTTCTGAACCACCCTGGCTGAAGCTGAAGCCCGGGTCTGTGTGTACTCAGAGATCCATTTGCCCAAGGCTAGGAGCACAGCACTCCCCATGCCCAGATCTTGCCAGGGGTGTTTTCCTTCTTCCCCTCTCCAAGTCAGTTTAGTGTCTCTTCCCACAAACCCTCCTCGGCCTCCTGCCCCAAGAGGTCACCCCTTACACACTTCCAAAGCAGGGTTGTCTGAGCCCCTGGTGCTGACAGAAGAGCCCAGGGCTCCAGCCCAGGCTGTGGCCGCAGATGGTATCTTCCCAGAGGAGAGGAGGGAATTGGAGAGGGTGGTGATGGGTGTTGGGGTGCCAGCGTTGGGTAGCTGGGAGGTAGGAGGAAGAAACCAGCCCACCATGGCTCTGGAGAAGGAAGAAGTACACCTGCCCACTTCTCACAGCCCAGATCCTTCTCTATGCAGGGAAGTGTTATCTTCTGGGAGCTGCCATGGTTCAGCCTGGCTTCTGATCACTGTTCTTTAATCCTCTGTATCTGGAAAAAACTCTAGTTGTAGATCTACGGAAGGACATATGAAGGTGATGGGTGGACCAGGAGGGCCGCCCTGACTGTTATGGCTTACCAGGGTAACAGTGCCGATGATGGTTAGCACTCAGCCAGGGCTGCTGCATCCCCGAGCAGTTCTTTGATCACAAACCATGCAGTGTGAAATCACGCGGGGTGTTGTACGCCAGGGTTGCTACCGCCTGCTTGAGCATTCAGCACTTAGGACCACGGGAAACCAAACCAGAAGGGTTTTCCTGGGCACCCTCCACCTGACACCAGCCCTAGGGGCTCCCCTGACTCTCATGTCCTGCCTCTCTCCTGGAACTCCCCTTCCACTCTGCACTGCACCAGGGAGTGCTTGACTGCCTTGCAGCTCCTCAAACCCTGCTTTAACCAGGGGGGAGGTTCAGGAGTCATTGCTTTTTTCTCTCTGCCACTTGCCAAATTCTGAAATCACGTTGAGCAAGCCCACCCACTTCAGGCCTCACTGAGTCCTGTCTTTCATTCCTGGGTTAGAGAAACACTGCCTGCAAGGACAGATCTGTGGAAACACTGGGTCCCTGTGAATCAGGTGCCCGAGGGCACATGTGAGCAGATGCTGATGAGATCAGTCCTGCAGGAGCATCTTTACAACAGAATGTGTTATTTTCCATAAGTGGCTTGTTTAATGATCCAAACAGTCAAATAGCTTTGCTGGTAGGACTTGGGGTTAAAAAAATGAGGCCTAATTGCAGCTTTTTTCTTCAGCACCAATTCATGAGAATGCCTGCTCGCTGATCCCAGGTGACTGAACCTCCCACAAATGGGTGCTTTGGGTCACAAAGGGGACAGGGTCAAATCCCTCAGGCAAAGAATGACTGAGGTGTGTGACTCACTGACCAGGCCGGGACTTCACAGCATTCATTCATTAAACAAACCTGCTGTGTGCCAGGTATCATTCTGGGATGCTGCCCATGACACAGCCCCTACCCTTGAAGAGCTCGAGGACCTTCGTGGAAAATCATTTTGATACGCACAGGACTTGGGACCTTTATGTTCAACTCTTTTTTTTTTTATGTTCAACTCTTTAAAAAATGGTTCCCAGCCCCAGCTCTCTTAGCAAGGCTTTCTAATTCATTATCTCATTTAATCGTACCATGAGTCAGGCAGGGCAGTAATACATGGGAAAGGAGGGTGGGGGTGGGGATAGTGTGACCTGTCCACCAGGTCCTGTTGCAAATTGACAGTAGATCCCAGGCCTCCTGTTAGCCCAAGCTGCTTCTGCTGTCACACTGCAGCCTTCTGCAAGGATGGGGTGGTACTGTCCTCCTCAGTTTTCGTTCTCTTTCATTTTAAAATGATAAACCTGAGTCACAGGATATTTAGGAGGAGGCATTGTCATTAAGTCCAAGACAAGACGGTCAGATTTGTTATCCTAGTGGGTTACAATCCAAAATACTCTGGAGCATGCTGAGATTAAGGTGGTTGCCAAGGGAACAGAAAACAGCCATGAGTAAACAAATCAAGACTTAAAAGGATTTAGATCAGGTCTATGGCCAGGTAAGTGCAGAGCTTTGTATCTTGTCCAAGGCCAGGTAAGTGCAGGTCTGCAGTGGGGATCTGTGGCCACGTGGTCACAGATGTGGAAACATCCTGCAAACGCAGCCACGCTGCTTCATACAGGCAGTGCAGTGGCTGGCATGGGGAGCCAGGTGAGCTTCATGATGTTGGGGCTTCTGGAACTGCCTACGTCATCCTTGTATTTCTTTGTTAGGAGCAAGTCTGGAGCTAAGAAAAATGGTGTAAGTTCTCAGAAAATGGTTGTTTTTTGGCAAGGGACACGCGCTTCAAGTCATCCGGTAAGGCGGTCAGCCTCATTGAGAGGGTTTGGTGTCCCACTGCCCAGCCCCAGGGGAGCTGCCTGACAGAGGGTAGACTGCAGTGACCAGAGGCGGCCGCTCAGCCATGCAATAGCACAGGCCCCTCAGGGACTTGGCAGAGGGAAACTGGTGGGAGTGGGGGATGCTCCTGAAACCTTTTGTTATTATTTTTAAGTGGTTTGAATTTGTTAAAGAAATATCTTTGGCCTTTAGGCAGGAGGAGGAGTATTGGGGCCAAAAATAGCCTGTTCTCACTATCACTGTTCTTCCTGGATTGTGGCAGGGGCAGTGAGAGGGGGACTCCCTTAAGTTATCCCTTAGGCTAAAAAGAGAACAGCCTCTCGGGTTGACTGGGTTTGGAGGAGGTGTCCTAAACAGGCTGTTCAACAGAGAACTTTTCGTGATGATGACAGCGCTCTATTTCTGTGCTATCCAGACCATAGCCACTAGCCACATACGGCTATTGAGAATTTAAATGTGGCTGGTGCGGCTGAGAAACTGAACTTTATTCAATTTTAATTAATTTAAATAGCCCCAGGTAGCTACTGGGCAGCACAGCCCCAGGGATGATAGGATGACACTCCTATTGATAAGAAACTAGAAACATTGTTTCTTTTCCCTCCACCTTCTCCCCTCGGCTCACCACCTAGGTGAGAGCCAGATAGTTCTGGGGTTCAATTCTGGCTTTGTCATTTAAACCATAGGTCCTTGGGCAAGTAACTTATGTAAAGCATGGGGTATAGTGCCTGGCACACAGCAATCACTCAATAAATGGTAGCTATTGTTGTTTTAATAAACTAGAGTGGTTACTTGCAGAGCAATTGTGCCCATGGAAAGGGAAAAAAGGGTTTTCCCTTGTTTAGCTTAACCCACACAAAGAATTAACCATCCCCAGTGTGAAGCAGGCCTGCTGCAAGTTTAAGGGTTTGAATTGATGTCATAGGTCACATCCTGGGTTTTAATTCCAAGGAAAGAGAACTTTGGAGCAGATGAGGCCTCACGCTGAGCCTCACATCTTCATCCAGGTCTCTGCAGAGCCACTCAGCCCTCACAGTTGTGGCTGGGGCGGCAGCTTTGCCTGCACCTCCTCATTCCTCGCATTGCATCAGCACTCCTTCTCCTCCAAACCCTTAGGGCCATCTTTTCTCTCTGTGCAGACTTAGCTATCAGAGGTAGCCTGCAGAGGAGCATACGTTCATTAAACAGACATTGACTGAGGACCTATTATACGCTGGATGTGTGGGATACAGAGACGCTAAAATAGTCGCTGCCCTTTGAAGTTCATAACCTGGTGGGGAAAACAAAAGTGTGCTAAATTCCAAATCTGGGATCAGCATAAGGTGCTTTGGAGAGAGAGATCAGACTGATGTCCAGTCCTGGGGAGATGGGAGAGGCTTTTTAAGGGGGAGATGGTTGCCCTACTGAGGAAGTCCTGGGGACGCAGCCCCACAGGAGGAACTGGAGGATGAGGGGAGCAGGGTCTGAAGCTGCCCTGAGGAGGCCCATGGGGTGATCTGTTTGTCCACCTGTTGTGCCCCAAAGTGACTACAGTGCAGAGTCTGGGACAGGGTTCACCCGAACTACACGTCTACCCATGCTCTACAGGAGCCATGAGCTACGCATCTACCCACATGGGAGCCGGGTCTGCTGTTCTCCAGGACGCCTTGGTTGTGGGTGTTCCAGGTCTTTGTTAAGGTCCAGAGTCCAGCTGCCACGTGGACCTGTCAGGATAGTGGTGATCCCTGTGCCAGCCACTGCGCTGCCTGTATGAGGAAGCATGAAGCAGGGCTGTGTTCGCAGGGTGTTTCCATATTGGCACTCCATCGTGCTCACTGCAGCCCCTAAGAATGGGGTGATGGGGAACCTTGGGGGAGACAGGAGGTGGGTGTGTGTGCACGAAACTACAGAAGTCAAGTGCCTAAGCTCAAACCACAGTGGCAGAGCAGAGAATGGAGGCCTCTGGGAGCCCTTTGGGCCTTGGCTTCCCTGCTGAGACACGGCAGGTTTGAGGTGGTATTGCCTGTGTCTGTGTCCACCCCCATCCCCTAGCTGTGTTCTTTTCCTTTCTATTTTGGTTCAGCTTACCTAGAAAATGCTGCTAAAAATATGGGAGACATCCTCAGGCATATTATTGATTTTGCTTTTGAAAAACATGGTCTTCACCAAGTGTTCCCATTTCTCTTATGGTCTGCAGAGGAGATGAACACTGGGAGCTCTGGCAGGTGACAGCAGGGGCTGGAGAGCAGGGCAGTGTTGATGTGCTTTGAGTGGAGGCACAGGTGGGGTTGGTCATGAGCACCTGGGGTGCTGGTGTCAATGTGTGGGAACTCAACATCTGCCCTATGGACTCGTTTGTCTTTCCAGTATTCCCTTCCTGTTGCCTCTGTTTAAAATACCAATTTCCTTGGGACGAGGAACTCCAAAAGTCCCACATCCAGCAGTGAGGTGTCTCCAGGAGCAGTGAAGGGATGGGGTGGGGGTTGGGGTAGGAGCAGGTTCTCCAGAGGCCACAAGCGGACGGGTGGGGCCGGTTGGCGCCTGGTGGGGCAGACTGGTTCTCCGAGTGAGCTGTGAAAGCAGGCAGGCCTGGTCTCCCCACCTGGTGTTGGGGGAAGGGGCTGATTTTACAGCCTAGGGGCTCCCACCTGGAATTCTCCAGTTCCTAGGCTCCAGAAGGCACAGTGGGCACCTACAGAGCTGCAGAGGGGACCCTCATGATATCGGGAGGCCCGCATCTCTCAACGCCCTCCATCAGGGACAGCGCCACCCCAACTGCCACATCCGCTGTCTGCTGCAAGGATCCCTGCCTGGGACTTGGAGAGTCACGTTTCTCCACCTGGCAGCTACAAAGAGGCCACAGAGAAAAAAGCCAATTTAATGTTCTTCTACCACTTGTGACTTTTAAAATCACTTTTCCTCTCAGGCCTCTGTTTCTTTGTCTGTCAAATGTACACCGTCAGGCACGTTCTCACTGGGGCCCAGGTTTTTACTTCCCTGTTGTCACACCCTATTTATGTCTGAGGGTCTCAGTCCCAGGGCGGTGCAGTGGAACTCAAGCTGGGTCACGGTGCCGTGTCCCCATCTGGGCTCTGCTACTTAGAGCTGTGGGTGTTGGAGGAAGCCACTCTGTGTTTCAATTTTATTTTCCTATCTATAAAATGGGATAATATTAATACCCACACAAGCTATACCCACACAAGCTACGGTGCACATGGTTATTGGAAGGTTTCCACGAGATCATACATGGAAAAGGGCTTTGTAAAAGGCAAGTTATGTCCAACTAAGGGACATTATCATTAAATGGCAGCTGGAAGCTGTAATTTGGTTCTGCCCTCTCACGCCCGCTGCTACTTCAGACATTCTAAGTTGCTCTTCTATGGGATATCTCTGGCTTGACTGCGGGTTCCGTTCTGAGGAGGTGTGGTCAGTAGGGACCAGATGTCTTCTTCCTTCCCCTCTGGTCACTCTTAGTGATATAACCCAGGCCATATAGTCAGACAGACTTCAGCAAAACTGTCAGCGAGGGCAGCTCCCCGATTCGGCCCCTTTGACTGTTGTCTCCAGTCCTGAAACCCTCGCCCCGGGCCGCTCCGCCGCCGGGCTCCGGCGCTCAGTCCATATTACTCGCGGAAAGGCCGGCGTCTCCGTCCGACTCTCTTTCCTGGTCGCTGGGGGCGGTTTGTGGGCCTGGCCTTGGGATTAGGAAAATAGGGATGGTGCCTATTTAGGGATGAGGCCGAATGCGGGCCTCAGGGAATCCCGAAAGGGGGAATGTCTGGATCGGCGGATCGGACGTTCAGGCCCAGGAACCGGCCCCCGCGTGGTCGCCGCTCGGGCGCGGGCGCAGCGCTAGCAGCCCCGTTTTCCGCCAGCCGGGCTGCCGGAGAGTTAGACCTCCCAGCCTCACGGGGCTGCTGTGCGGCTGCAGCGACGCCGGCGACTGCGGCGCTGCAGCGGAGACGGAGGGCTCGGGAGGCGGCGCCATGTGAGTCCGCGCGGGGCCGCGCTGGGGCCGCGGCGAGAGGTTACCGTATTTACCGAGGCCAGAGCCGGACCCTCGAGGGCGGGTCACTGCGGGCGCGCTACCGTATTTGCTGGGTCCCGCGCAGGTCCTTTCCGGGAGTGGGAGCGCCGCGACTTAATTACGTATTTATCCAGGGTTGCGTGGTTCCGCGGGGGGCGCTGCGGCCACTGGGGGTGGGCTGCATTCATTCCCTCCGGGAGCTGGGGCTTGCAGTCGGGCGGGGTGGGTTGCGGCAGCAGGGTGGAGGCCTACGTATTTTCGTGGGGGTGGGGTTGCGACGCAGAGTTTACCATATTTCTCCAGGGTTGCTCAGGCCGCAGAAGTTGGCAAGGTTGTGTGTGAGGTCGGGTGGGGTGGGGTCAGCTCTCCCGATTAATGCAGCTATTTGATAAAAGCAACGTCGCGGGAGGCTTGCTGTCTTTATGGGGGCGGGGAGAAGGGGCACGGGAGTCGCTGCGGGAGAGTTACCGTATTTGCGTTGAGCAGCACAGACTGTAGAGAAAAGAGCTGCGGCCGGAGACCGGAGGAGCAGGGGCTCAGCTGGGCTGTGAGTGTGGCATGGGATGAAAGAACTTGGGGGAGAGACGGGGGGTCTCTCGACGTGCAGGCGGGGCCTCAGTCAGGGGTATAACTGGGGAGAGTGAGGAGGCTGCCCAGTCACAGCGCCAGGCTGAGATTGGCCAAGGGGACTTTGATGATTTGTCTTTGCAGATGTCAGTGCAGTTGCCTGTGGAAAAGACTTGTGGGTGGGGTCTCTTGCAAGTAGGACTTGTCTCCTTCCCCAGGGTGTCAGTTCCACCCTGGCCTCGAGGGTAGGGAAGACAGAGGAGGTGGCTCTGAGACCCCACTCTGCAGATAGGTTGGCTGAGGCTGGAAGTGAAGAGAGGCCTTCGGGGAGGTCCAGTGGAACACTCAGTCGGCTTCCCTGATGGGGTTGGGGAGAATGGATGAGGCAGGCCTTAGGGCTTGGCAGGAGCCAAGTTTTGCCGGGGGCGGGGGCCCGGGGGGGGGTTCGTGGGAGTAGTGGCGGTAGACAGTACCTCTACAGGAGAAGCGGCCCTTTGGAATGCATGGCTCCGTGACAGCTGGGATGGTGGCAGTGGGGTGTGCGTGTGTGTGTGTGTGTGTGTGCGTGTGTGTGTGTTGAGGAATGTTTAGTTGTTGAGCAGCTAGTACATTGAAAAGAGCTTTCAACAGTGAGGCAGGAGACTTAAGGCCTAGTCCAGGCTCCCCTTGCTCTGTGACCTTGGCAAGTATGTTGACCTCACTGAGCCTCAGTTTCCCCAACTTTAAAGTGGGGCTCAATAACCCTGCTCCGCCCCTTTCTCAGGGCTGTTGTGAGGACAATGGGAAACAATTTAAGAGGAATACAGTACCCTGAGAAGAGGATCCTTTGGAGAACCAGCATGAAGGGAGCTGGGTTTGGGGGTGTTGGCTGGGCACTGAGTGTGCTGCTCAGCCCTGGGCCAGGCTTTGCTGTGAGGATACCAAGAGGAATCACGCTGAGACCAGTCCCCCTGGGAGCCCACACCCTGGTTCAGTGACTTGGAAACCTTTTGAACACATGCCTCATTTTGATAAACAAAGAGCTGCTGTCTTTAATGTTAACTGAGGTCACTTTCAAGTTTACAGGGTTGTGTTTTTGTTTCCTGTTTTAAGCTTCGCAAAAATATCTCTAAATCACTGATAATCCCACCCTTTTCTCCAAGTTTGGGGTGCACTTCCCTACCTCCCTCTGTCCTTGAGATCTGGTTGGAGGGATAAGACATATCTAGACGAAGGTAACTGAAAATCCTAGCTGAAACTGAAACTGAAACTCCTAACTGAAACTCATCACCATCTGTCCAGTGTCTTGTGTGGCTGGCTGACATGGTGCTAGGTGCTGGGGTTGAAAGAAGGCAGCTCTGTCCTTAAGGTGCTGGGAGTCGGGGGACAGAGGTGGCATGACTGACCCTCGTGCAGTGTGATGAGTGAGGGCCACATGGTTGTGTCACACGGTGTAAGCCTGGGGTGGAAAGGTCAGGGAAGGCTTCTAGGAGAAAGTGCCCTTGGGAAGGGCCTGAAAGGAGCGTAGGCCGTACTTAAAAGGCAGTGGAGGAAGAACACCAATTCCCAGCAGGGTAACTTGAGCTTAAACAAAACGGGGCGAAAGGTGGAGGTTGTGGGAGGTGAGGCTGGGGGTTGGCTAACCCTCGGGTCCCCCGACCCCTCTCTCTCCGCCCCCCGCTTCTGTCTCCCTAGGGACTGGTGATTGCAGCTGGAAGTGCCCATGACCGAGCTGGCGTCCTCCGGGGGCGGGTCCCCTGCGGGGGACGGGGAGGAGGGTCTGGGGGACGAGCGAGGCCTGGTCATCCACCACCCTGCGGAGGAGCAGCCGTACCGCTGCCTGCTGTGCGGCCAGACCTTCTCGCAGCAGCCCAGCCTGGTGCGGCACCAGAAGGCACACGCCGGGTCGGGCCGCGCGGCTGCCTTCGTGTGCCCCGAGTGCGGCAAGGCCTTCAGCGTCAAGCACAACCTCGAGGTGCACCAGCGCACGCACACCGGGGAGCGGCCCTTTCCCTGCCCCGAGTGCGGCCGCTGCTTCAGTCTCAAGCAGAACCTGCTCACGCACCAGCGTATCCACAGCGGCGAGAAGCCGCACCAGTGCGCGCAGTGCGGCCGCTGCTTCCGCGAGTCGCGCTTCCTGCTCAACCACCAGCGCACCCACGCGCGCATGCCCGCGCCCCACCCGCGCCGCCCCGGGGTTTTCGGGGAGCGGCGGCCCTACTTCTGCCCCCGCTGCGGCAAGAGCTTCGCACGCGAGGGCTCACTCAAGACCCATCAGCGCAGCCACGGCCACGGGTCCGAGGGCCAGGCGGCCCACTTAGGACGCGTGCTATGATGCGCCCGGGGCCTGCTGCCAACTGCTGCTTCCTGCCCCGCACGTGCGTCCCCGACCCCTGGAGATGGCCCTGGGCCGCAGCTCCCTCTCTGGATGGGATCCCGGGAGAGGGGCAGCGTTGGCTTGGGCTCTTGAAGGTGTGGGCCGCCGCCAGGCTCCGGCTGCCCCCTTGCGTTCCTCCCTCGGGACCGTCTGGCTGGCTGCGCGTAGCTGCTTCGGTCTCCTGCCATGGTTCTCCTTCTCTGGCCCATCCGGCCTAGAGCAGGTGAGACCTGCGGGGCTGGCCAGAGCCCCTCTCAGGGCTGGCGGTGGTGGGGGTGGGGTGGGTGGTGTTAATTCTTGATGGCAGGTGGGGCGGTCTGGGTCCTGGGCTGTAGGTTTCTCTGTGACAAGCTGCTTACTGGATCTTCATCCCCAGAATGTCAGAGTTGAAAGAGACTTGGAGAGGGCCACTTTCCACAATCCCCACGCCCAACCTCAGCCCCCAGGCCTCCTGGCTCCTGTACACACCCTCTGCTGTCCTTGAGATGTCATTTCACTTCATGTTTCAGTTTGCTCATCTGTAAGTTGGGGATATAGATGAGGGGCTCTTCCTCGCTGGGATATATTGCAGCTACTGGATGAGAGAGGGTGAGGTCACTGGTGCACAGAGCCTTAGTTGATTCTGCCATACCATGTGCCACTGACTGTGCCACGCTGGGCTCTCCCAGAGACACACATGAGGACCGCAGGCCCTGTCACGGGGTGCTTACACTCGGTGTGTGATGTGGGGCCAACCTACAAAGCGCTCTGGGGTGAGATCGAGGAGGGTGACTGGCTTCTCTTCGTCACCCAGGGGAGTTTGATGGCTTTGAACCAGGTCGTGGGGACAAATAAAATTGTTCTAGGAAGAGCAAGTGTGTAGAAGGGTGTTTTCAAGGCAGGGGAGGGCGTCCTGATAGTTTGGTGACTGACTCCAGGTGTCCCAAGGGGAGGTTTGCCCTACAGAGGACTTCGTGGTCAGGGGGCGGGGACCCTGAGATTTTTAAAGAGATGAGTGCTATGATCTCAGACTTAGGCTTTAGGAGGAGAATCAGCGGCACTGTGAGGGCAGACTGATGTGGGAAGATCTGGAGCCTCCAGGGGCTTGGGTCATCTGGGCAAGAGAACATGAGGCCCCCAGCTAAGAGGCCTGGCCAAGTTCTGGCAGTGAGAAAGAGGGCAGCCAGGACCTGTGATTCCAAGCTGGCGCTCTGAGGCACAGGCCCCTTCAGCCTTTTGGCAGATGAGGAAACAGGTTTGCCAAGCTTGCCCACACCACAGTTGGTACTTAGTGGTACAATGGGTGGAAGCCAGGGCTTTGTTTTGGTTTCTGAATCCCAGAACCTTTTAGCTCCACTGCTAAAAAGTGGACGATGGAGCAGGGAGGATTTGGGGCCACGTGATAGGAGCTGGGGCAGGGGTGTCAGGGGTGGTATGGGTTTTTGAAGGGGACATGGCATCCTTGGGAGTGGTTTGGGAGGAAGGGAGCTGGGTCTTCGAGGGGACCTGCATGTTCAGTCCTGTGCTGGGTGCTGGAGACTCGTCCCTCCCCACTGCCCCCCTCTGCCTGTCCTCAGTGCTGTGTGGCTATGGCTCCTCAGAGACTGTTTGTCCTCTCCCTTCTACTCCCAGGTGCTGTAGACTAGCATTGGTGGCAAAGATGAAATTAAACAGGGACTTGGGACACCTGGAGTCAGTCACCAAAATGCCCTGAACGCAAGGTGTCTTATCTGTAAATGGGATTAGTAATCCTTGCAGCGCTGGGTAGGGGACAAAGAGCATTCATTCAAGCCCTAGGACAGATTCAGGGTAGGCCAGCTGATCGCTCCCTCCTAGCCCCAGAGGGGTGGCTGGGCAGGGCCGTGTCATGGCACCACACCTGATCCTGATCTCTTTGTTTTTGTGGACAGATGCGGAGTGGGCAGGATCCTATGACCCGATAGCTGCAGGACCCATCTGGACATGGAGACCAGGAATGGGGTGCTGTGGGGGCCTGGCTGGCACTGCACCTGGGCATGAGGGCACATCCAGTAAGAAGACCTGCCTCAAGAGGTGCACTGCGGTGCCCAGTGGAGGTGACTGGTTGGAGACTGGAATTGGTGGCACATTCCAAGCTCTGGTGGACAGATTCCCCAGGCCTGGTGGGAATCGCAGCTGGGGCAGACCTCATCCTGGCTGCCTGGCCACAGGCCCCACTGTCTGCCACTGGTGGTAGGATGTTGCTTGTGTGGAGAGCTGGCTTCTCTGCTCCCACCTGGTCCACCACTTGGCTAGAGTTCGGAGACAGGAAGTGACTGGTCTAAGCTAACACGGCAAGTTGGTGGCCGACCTGGTTCTAGAGGCAAAACCTTCTGCCAGATGTGAATGAAACCTGCAGGCTTCATTTTCCTTTCTGAGCAGTGCTTCTTAGCACTTTGGAGACATGAAGCCCTCGGAAAATCTGATGAAGGTTATGGACCTTCCCTAGGAAAACAGGTAACTGACATAGACTCAAAAACCCCAGGCAATTTCAGGAGCCACTGGACTCCCTGAATGAAACCCATCCCTGGACTCCTCAGCCCTGACTTCACCTGCTGCCCGTTCCTTACCTGTCACACATTGAGCCCCGAGTCAAGGCCACTGTACAAGTAGTGCCCTCCCTCCCCCTGGCCAAGCCTCCTTCCCTTGTTCAGGAATAAAGAATTCCGAGGAGGAGACCTTTTTAGTCAGTCCCTTCTCCCAGACCTAAAGAATGATGCATCAGGTTTCTGGAACCTCATTTCCCTTCCCCAGACATTGGCAGAGGTCCCTTGGGCTAGATTTTCTCTTCTGGTTTTGTGTTTCTTGTTTTGCCTGACTGGCCGCTGGCTTCCACAAAGGAGCCCTTTGCTCCTGGCCTGGGCTCTGATTTCACTGTGTGGTCTCAGGGGAAGCTGGACTGCTGTGGATGCTGGTGGGAGTTTGAGTTTGGCCTGAGTCTGCCCCAGGGAGAAAGAATCCTGCTTCCACCAACCAAGCCCAGTCAGCGGTGCCTCCCAGCTGGCCAAGTGTTCAGCCCCGTGGGCTGGGGAGGAAGAGGATGAGGGCCTCGCTCCTGGTGCCTGTGGCTCTGGGCAGGGGGAGAGGTCGGTGGAGGAGCTTTCTGTGTGTTCTCTGAGCGTGCAGCAGTGCAGTTGAAGGGAACAGGGCCCAGGCTGGCAGCAGGGAGAGGACTCCTCCCATCTTCACACCTGAACCAGTCAGCCTGGAAGCCACAAGTTCTCACTTGCTTCCCCAGAATGAACATCAGAAAAGGCAAAACTGACCAGGGCTGGGCTGGGTTTGGGTCAGGGTGGTTGGAGGGCAGCCTGTGGATTCCTGCACTGGAGTCTTGCTGTCTTCGATGCCGTTTGGATCATACATTCTTACATCCTACTGTATGCCTCGCCCTGGAATAGCGGAACGCTCAGGGGGAGATCCGAGAATGAGAAGGTGCTCCCAGCCCCAGGAGCTTCCAATCTGGCTCTGATCCTTGGCTGACCTAGAGGAAACCTCCACCCACACTCCTTCTCTGCTAATGGTGCAGTTTGTGTCCCCCCTGCCCATCACTGCTGTGCTCATTCCTGCCCGTGCCTTCCCCTGTATTGCTCGGACATGTCCCCTTTCCTCTTCTCTACCCAGCTAAACCCTTCTGATCCACGGGGCCCGGCTTCCCAAACAACCCAGCCCACATTCCTCCTTCCCTCTCCGAACAGGCCCTGTGTGAGCCCCCGCCCCCACACTGCGTGCTGTCCCACAGATGCTCCAGTCTCCTGTGTGTGTGTTTTGAGTCCCCAACTAGACAGTGAGCTCCCTGAGGGCAAGGGACTGTCATTTCCTCTTGAGCCCTACCAGGATCTAGCACCGAACTGGGCTTCTAACTCTCAGGAAACACTTGTCGACTGCCTCAAGCGCCGGAGCTTGTCGGTGGCCGGTAATGGGCAGTGCACGTGGGGAGAGGGTATGTGAGTTAACTCGAGGGTGCCTTTTATTGGGCTGTGGGCTGGCTCCCCTGGGTCAAAAGTGGATGTCGGAGGCCTCAGGCTCTTATCTCATTGGGGCAGTGGGAGCATCAGGGACCCCTCCCCTCGGCTCTGCAGGAGTGCACAGAAGTGGTCGTCCAGCCTGGATATTTCTACAGGTCGCTGACACCTGCGGGAGCTGACTGAGTGAAATAAATGTTCTCTCGACATCAGCTGGTGTAAGGAGTGGTCATTTGGGGCTTAGTGGGAAGCAGGGTGGTGGCCTCTGTCTCTGCCTCCATCATCTCTTGAGGAATTGTGTTTCAAGGTTGCCTGGTAACCAAAGACCCCAGAAGACACACATGAAAGCCTCAGTGATGAGCTGCTGTAGGCTTCCGGCACCTGCACAGTGACTTCTCTTTGCATCTGACTAACAGATATAGGGGCTGCAGCCCTTGCTGCCTGCTCAGCCCACGGTGAGGCCAGACTTGCCAGGAAGCATCTGACGGTTCCCTCAGTGCCTGAGCAGTGGACCGCTAAGAGTGCTTGAGTCAGGAGACCAGGCCTCTGTGCTGGTCCATCTCCAATGGGAGGTCTCAGCCAAACACACGCCCCTCCTGATGTTAGTCCACCTCCTGCTCCTCTTCCTTATGGAGTTGTGAGGAGCGAACAAGTAGATGTGTAAAGGATGCAAGTGCACAGCACACAGACTCTACTGTCCCTCTTTGGCCCCCCCACCCCCAAGCAGGACCTGGCTGCAGACCGCCTCTCGCAGAGCGCCCTGGACAGCTGACCTTCTGTCCTGCCTGCTGCCAGGTGGCCATGAGACCTGGGTAAGTAACTTCCCTCCTGTCAATGGAATGCCTGGCTGGAGTGCGGTGGGCTCCCTTCGGCACCATGACCCTGTGCGATGCCCTCTGACTCTGACTTCTTCCATGGCCTCTGTCAGCCAGGAGGGTCCTGCGAGTAAGGAACTTAGGGACTGTGCCTTTGAAACATGGGTGGGTGATGTTGGGAGTGAATCAGGCAGGGCTCTGTGTTCAACTCAGATTTCAAAGAAGGAAATGATGAGCTCATCTAAATGAAAAGTGCAGTGACTCGATGGTCACACGGACCCAGTCAGGAAGAAGCAGCCGGCAGCTCAGCCTTCTGCCTGGCAGCTTCGGTCCTTCTCTAATGGATCTGAGACAGCGGAGGGCCTACTCTTGCTGGCCTAAATCGGGTTAGTGCCCATTACTAGACCCGTCTCAGTGACCAGGGGAGTGCAGGGTTCTGAAAGGCCTTGTCACACGCACACCCATGGCCGAGGGGGCTCAGCTGCACCTAGAGTCCACGTGCTGAGAGTGGGAAGGTTTTGTTCAGCAGAGGAAAACCAGAGACGAGAAGACAGGTCAATGGACTCCAGGCAGCAGACCCACACTCTTGCTACGGGGACGGGGTGGAGCTGGTGCAGGGAGAGGCCGGGCCAGCAGCGTTGGTGTCACCTGGGAGTTATTAACGACAATTGCAATTCCCACCCCAGACTCTAATCAGAAACTGCATGTGCGCAAGATCCCAGGCGGTCAGCATCTGCTGTCAGACCCAGCGCCACTTTGCCATTGCCCTTCAAGGAGGGCCTTTGATTCAGACATTCCGTTGGCCCTGCTGCTGCCAGGAGGACAATGGTGGGGGTTTCCTTTTAGGCAAGCTCCTGGGGTGTAGAGACAAGGTCCCGGGGCCCAGATACCAGCCACTGCCACCCCCACCCTCCAGGACTGGTGCACCCGTCAGCAGGGCCCATCCTGACCTGGCCTGCCCAGCCTGGCTGTATAGAAATTTCCTGGAGTACAGACGCAGTCCAGGAGGGAAACACCAAGAGAAGGGCCAGTACTGGGCACAGAAGCAGGTGGCTTACACAGCATGGCTCTTCCACCTGCTGTTTGGGAACCCTCTCCCGGTTTCCATCTCCACCCTCCTTAAGGCCTCCTTAACTTTTTTTTTTTTTTTGAGATGGAGTCTCACTTTGTCACCCAGGCTGGAGTGCAGTGGCACTATCTCGGTTCACTACAATCTCTGCCTCCCGGGTTCAAGTGATTCTCCTACCTCAGCCTCCCGAGTAGCTGGGATTACAGGTACATGCTACCACACCTGGCTAATTTTTGTACTTTCAGTAGAGATGGAGTTTTGCCATGTTGGTCAGGCTGGTCTTGAACTCCTGACCTCAGGCGATTCACCCACCTCGGCCTCCCAAAGTGCTGGGATTACAGGTGTGAGCCACTGTGCCCAACCCTCCTTAACATCTGAGCCTCACCTTTCTCATCATGCCCATGGTGGAGACAACTGCTGTGATGCTCTCAGAGCCCCAGCCCAGCCACCTTCCAGTGGTTGTGAGTGTGGGCCGCTGATGGCCTACAGCTGCCCAGCCTGGGGGCTGCCCCCTGGCAAATGACTGCCCACACAAAGGGATCAGACTCAATCTGCTCTCCCGGGGGAATATTGTTGGCTTCTTTCTCTGCCCTGTGCTGCTTCCTGCCACTCTCCCTCTCTACAGCCCTTCCCTGACAATTCTTACCCTCCCTGCCTGAACAAGAATCCTGTCTCAGGCTCTACTTCTAGGATCCCCACTCTAAGGCAAGGTCTTTGAAGAACACAAGCTGAAAGCACCTTGCACACAGTAGATCATGACCCGCCCCTTTCTTTGGCAGTTCTTTATGACACTGGTTACCTCTGGGCCTTCAGTGAGCTGCCGCTGGATGAACGGACTGGAGGTGACCATCTCCTTGGTGAGAGGCCAGGTCAGAGGACCTAAATGCTGGTGGCCCTCACCAGCTGCACTGAAGCCCCTCTCCACTGGAAACATGGGACAAGAGTCAAATTCACAGGTCAAGGGTTGGGGTCTAGTCTGATCACGTGTCTTTGGCCAAGGTCCTTACCATCTTGAGGCTCAGCTTCTGATACATGAAATGAATGGGGTGCACTGGCCAACCTCAGGTTCTTCTCTGATGCTTCCCCGACTGCTTGTGTGGGCCTCTTTTGGGTGGTGACCCCCCAGCTCGGCTGAGTGGCCAGGCATCACAGGGTAGGCTGGAGAGGTCCCTGGGACACTGCTCCTGCTCCTCTGGGCTTGCCACCGTTCCTGTGACTCAGGCTTTGCTCTGTGCTAGGCTACCACCATCTCTGCTCTGTACAGATGCTTGGTGAACTGAAACTGGATTTTTTTTTTTTCTTCAAGCAGGAGAACTGCAGTTGCCAGCGGTTTCTAGCAGCAGACACAGAAAGTCCCCTTGGAGCGGAACTTCTTTGTTTCTGGAAGGTCATCAGGCCTTTGCAGTTAAACCAATGCTAAACAAATACACACTGCTACTCTTGCACTGGCCTTGGACTTGGAAAGCATCTCAAACACAGACACTTCAGGCCGGTGTGTTCGCTCTCCTGTTTCATAACAATGACTGTCAAAAGGCTGTTGTAAGGCAGAGCATCAGGGACAGGGGCCTCTGGGGTGTGAGAAGGACCTGAAAATCTCTCTGTGGGGAGGGGCTGAGCTGTTCCTTCCCCTGGCACATGGAAACCTCCTGGGGGATGGCAGGGTCCCCTCCCCTGAGATTGGGTTTAAAGCATGTGGGTTCAAGAGAACCTGAGTTTATAGGCGTAGTGAAAACTGTGTCCATGTGTGGGACGAGAGCGTCTTCTGGAGAGGGTGACATGATGGTGCACAGGCACCCTGAGAGGTGGGAGAGGCGCTGGCTGATGGACGGAGGTGACACCTTCCGCTGCATGTGAGCGCTCCCGGAAATTACGGAGCGGGAGGAAGTGTGTGGGGATCCTGGAGGGAGAATGGACTATATATAGTCCCAGGGGCTGGGGAGGGTTCTGTCTTTATGAGATCGTGAAAACCATATTTCAGGCTGGCAACGCCGGATACACTGGCTGCTGCTTTTCCCACCTCTGGCCTGGTGCTCGCTCATGGGGTCTGCTGCGCATGGCCAATGCCTGTTCTTCTCCTTTCTGCCACTGCTCTTGGCTTTAACAGGGTTCAGGACTTGCCACCCCAAAATATAGCACCTTGGCATCAAGAAAACAGCAGAAGCAGGAAGGCGACATTCCCCTTCCCCTCGCCTGTCTCCCCCGAAGCAGACCATAGAAGAATTCTCGGACCTTTCTCTAAAGCAGGTCATAAGACCCTCATTCCAGAAGCATCCTCCCTATCCCTGGAGAAAAGGAGTGTCCTACAGAGACCCCAGGAAGAACCTGAATAAACAGGCCTTGCTAAGTCCCCCAGTTTATTAGCATAAGTCACACCCTCTTATCCTCCAATCACATGTCTGCACGACTATGCATGAAGACAGTTTCCCCTCTTTCTTTGGGTCTTTATTTCTGAAGGTTCCTGTGTCACATGAAATTTATATTAAATACATTTGTATGCTGTTCTCTTGTTGACCTGGCTTTTGTTATGGGGGTCTCAGCCACGAACTTTTATTTTTTTAAGAGAGTCTCACTCTGTCACCCAGGCTGGAGTGCAGTGGTGTGATTTCGACTCTCTGCAACCTCTGCCTCCTGGGTTCAAGTGATTCTCCTGCCTCAGCCTCCTGAGTAGCTGGGATTACACAGGCGACCGCCACCACATCTGGCTAATTTTTGTATTCTTAGTAGAGGTGGGCTTCCACCATGTTGGCCAGGCTGGTCTTGAACTCCTGACCTGAAGTGATCCACTGCCTCGGCTTCCCACAGTGCTGGGATTACAGGTGTAGAACACCACATCCAGCAGCCATGAACCTTTCCATAGGAATTACTTTCTTCTTCCTCTAGCTTCTTCAGCACTCTGCTCTCTGCAGGTGCCTCTCCTTATGCCGCATGCGGACCCCTAGGGAGGTTGTACTGTGGCTGCTCACAGTCTTGTTTAGGGAATCTCTTAGGTGGAATCCTTTCTCCTGGCTCTGCTTGTGTCATCTGTGAACCTTGAGGTGGCTTCCCTAGGCTGGGGCACATGCCCTGGTCCCACAGCTATGGCCCGAGTGACAGAGGTCCCAAGCATCAATCCCAGGGACTTATTCACAAGGACATGGTGAGCGTTATTCTCAGAGAGGATGTCTACGGACAGGCCCGGGGCGCTCTCTGGCTTGCCTCGTACTACACTATGGTTTCTCTCTGCTCAGAGCCCATACTTTGCTGTGCAAACTTGTCATTTGGTAAATTATCCCGCATGCCCTGTGTTCCCTTTTTTCCCATTTTCTTAAGATTAGTTTCTCGTGTGTTT